GCTCTGATGGACGCTGAAAGGGGCGGCCGAGGCAGGACAGTGCCTTTGCTGTGTTCTGCAATGTGGTGGTACGGGGAGGGCTGTGTATGAGCTTTGGGGAGGGGGGTCGTCCCCACCCCTCTATCAGTCTTCTGGAAATGATTCCAACGCACTGAGCAAACTTCATCACAGCCATCAACCTGGGAGATTGTGACCTGTTGCCTGTGGCATAGTTAGTGTGTGGCATAATCCTCTGCGTAACTCATTAGAAACATCTGCAGAGGTGTTTCGATGCCCTCACCTCACTGTTGAAAAGGGTTTTTCCCAACTGCTTTGCCGTAACGCAAGGATCATCTGGCCTTTCCTGGATCTTACTGCCCTGCGCCTGGCCGTTTGACTGTTCGTAGCTGAACTCAGAGCTTTCCCTGGGGACTGTTCTTGCCTTCTCCTGCGCTGCGTTAACAGCGCTTGAGATGTGTGCTAGGTATGTTTTTTGCTCACAATTCCAACATACCCATCTCTGTGCCTTTGGTTTCATTTAAATAATAACACATCTGTGCTCTCTAGGGCAGGTGGGATTAGCTGGCTGGGCAGCGGCTGAGCGTGGGCTTTGCCTCATTACCAGGGCTGATTCGGAAGAATGAGCTCATCACAGGGCTGAAACCCCTCCGTCTTCCTCAGGTAATTCGGGCCTCGTTACATGTTAAGGCTTGTTGTGGTCTGGCCATTTACACTGAAATAAGAGACCTCTAGAATGTGCAGCTTTTGGCACTGAAAGGGTTTCTTAATGACTTTGTCACTAAGATCAGACAGGTGAAACTTCTGATTGTGTGTTCTGTGAGATGATTTAAGAGTCTGGTTCACTCAGTCTTGGCTGCATTTACCGTTACAAATGCGTAAATGAATGAATCGTGAATTATTCATGCACCTGTGTTTCCGCAGAGCAGGATGAGTGTAGAGGCATTGCTGCCTGTCAGTTATGTGTGTGGATTAACCAAGCTGTGGATGGTCTGTGCCACACACACTAGCTGAGGCAGAAGCGTGAATGCTTCATGCTTGTAGTGCCATTGGAGCTCACCAGTGGAGCTCCAATGTGCCATTGTATGAGCTCCTTGTAGCGCCATTAATGAGCTCCTTGTAGTGCCATCGGAGCTCAACTGCATACTTGTAGCGCCTTTGGAGCTCACCTGGCTCCAATGGCACTACAGCTGCTTATGTAATATAATGCTACCAAGTCCTCCCAGACCTTTGCTGGCTCTGTGTTGGCTCACCTTAGGTTTCTCTGTACCGCATTGCTGGAACAGAAATACTACAGAAGGTGCTCCAGTGGCCAGGGACAGAGTGGTTCTGGATAGGGTCTGCTGCCTCCAACATCCAAGTTATTCATGTTTGTTGGGATGAACGTGGTATTTTTGATGTTATTCTGTGTATTCTGTTGCAAAACCTGCCATCACTGAAAATCAATAGGCTGTATTGATATAAAAATATCAATATAGGAACATATCCTACATGTCAATATAGGAATATACTAATATTTTTCCCAAAAGACTCGCATTCTTTTACGTTCCTTAAAACGTTGATTCTGAAGATGATTTTATGCATCAGATCCTGCAGTAGCAATAGGGCTATTTGTGACTTCTGAAGGTAAAAATTCCACAGCTGGATAATTGAGATTGCTGTATTCCTCAGTCCTTTTGTTTGAGAGCAGGGGAAGTATGGAGAAGAAAACAGTTATTAATCAGCTTGATTTCAATTCAGTAAGAATTTTGAAAACTGAGCCCAACATCCCAAGGGAAGAAGCATGCAGTATGATGGGTTTTTGAAATTTCCATATTACCTACCTAAGTACACCTGCCTATCTATTTGCTTAATGATGATTTATGTTTTTTAAAAATTCTCAAAATGCAAGACACATCAAAAAGTTTAGGAGGAATGACTCAGCTGTGGAATATCCCAGACTATGACTGTCAGCCCTGTTAATTGCTAACTTCTGGAAAATTGAGGTGTTACAGTCACTACTTGGCTTTGTTTTTTTGGAATACAATGCAACAGACTGCTGAGCAACCGCAAAGGAAGATAAACTCCCTGCCACCAAGGATTTCTTATTTTAAGCTATTACAATCCCCTACTAGACGTAGTGTCATAGTTCCCTCTTCTCTGTAGTTCTGCTCTCATTCCTTCTTTTCACCCTGATATGTTCCTTAACTCTTCCTACTGAGCATACATTACTTTCACGGACTGCTTTAGCATTTACTTTGAATGAAAAAATAAAGCTCATTTTATCAGCTTGTGGAAGTGATCTTCACAGCTAGGTGGCAACAGAAGAATTGCATTAGGCTTCCTTCTGTAAAAAGTGAGAAATGTAACGTGAGAGCATTAAAAGCAGCTGCCTGACTCGTAATGTCAGTGACAGTCTCCTTCAATTTAAATATTTGCAATAGCCATAATTAAACACTTAGTAACTGGCTTTGAGTTAAAATGGAAATACATTGCATAGGCTTACTGCTGTGCAGATTTTAATTCAGATTTACATCCTCCTTGGCTTATGTGCCTAGAATAAGTCTTGTGATTTAAAGGCTGTTTTACACAGTATAGAAATTGTCATAGTGGGCAAATTATCTTCTAGGTGAGTAACAGAGCTTTGACTTTTTCTGGAAGCAGCCCTCTAAAGGGATCAAGCAATGTGATGGTCTCCTTCAACTGTTTAAAGATTGAAGACATTCACATCTGCAAAAAGAGAGATGGTCCATCTGGGTCACTGAATCTAGACTCTGGCTCCTGGAGGCTATCACATCATCTAAACCTTCTAAACAGTCTTTTCGTCATCCTCTAAAACCAGTGTTGAAACTGGTGATCCTCTTACACAGAGTTACTGTCATGTAAGAAGACGTGTTAGGAACTTGGGTTGACCATGCCTTCTGAAAAGATGCATATGTAAACAAATGTTGCTTGTTTTTTTTTGCTCTGATTTTGTTCTTTTGGAAAATAAGCATAGCAAACTGTGGCATAGTATACAATGATAACAGAAATTCAGATCGCAACATTCTTATCCAGATATTTGCCAATGGAGCTCCAAGGGTAAGGTTTTGGTTTCTTAAAGCTTTTGAATCTAACAGAAAAATATGTATCGTTATCACTTAAAACCAAAATTCTGTTACAAAAAAAATCAGCACATTTTATTCCATTGTGCCTGTATGACCTTTTTTTTTTTTTTAATCTCACCGTAAAGGTGAAATAAATAAATTCAACCTTATTATTCTAATAAATAGGCAGACCAGGAGATTTCCAGAAGGCCTGAATTCGTTCCAAATGTATTTTATTTCACTTCAGAGCGCAGTATACAGACTGTGGCTCCACAGAGCGCAGTATACAGACTGTGGCTCCACTTCTTGCTGCCTCATAGGCAGCCATTTTCTGAGCTATTTCTCTGGCCATGAAGCCATGTTGAAGGATCTTGAACTGTCGTTCCCGACTCTCTTCCAGTTCCTTCCAATGGTTCCATTGCAAAGCGTCCTGCAGAAAAGACACACAGGTGATCAGACGGCAGAGGATATAGTGGTTCTCTTTAGAGGATACACTGAACTTCTGTTTGATAATCAGGCTGACTGGCAACAGTTTATTTGCTAACATGATTGGGAAACTTGTCAACATCAAACTGAGCATGATGAATAGAAAGGTAAATTGACTGGGTTTCCCAGTTTGAGATGAATTAAACAGAGCTGCAACACTCCACAAAATGTTAAGTCAAGATAAGATTACATCTGGATGATTTGCTCTAATGTTGCTACCTTATGTTCTTTGCCAACAGTTTATTCTTGAAGCCATAAATGAACAGTTGCACAAATCCTATCAGACTCTACAGGTTTGCTGATTCAAAAGCTGGGCTCACAAGGGACCATTCCCGAAAAAGCTCAGAAATAACAGAAACCTGCTACTTTTTCATCTGATTCTTTGCTTAAAATGATAGAAAGATAGATTTTTTTTTCATTATTGGTAGTTTTTCTTATGGTTAGTTTTCCATAATGGAATATAAATTCTGTTTTATTAAGAATCTAATAGTGATTTATAAATAAATGTTGCTTTGACTTATATCAGCACAACCCTATTGGGCCCAAAGGGCCATCACAAATGCAACTGAAGCCACAATTTGGAAATTTAATACAAGGGGTTAGTGTCACTTTTGTTCTACTTATTGAGGAACCTAAAAGGGAGCAGTGCAACCTGAATGGCAGGTACCTATTGCTTTACAACTAAGGGAGGAATTTTCTCCGATAGTCACACTGACAACATTTTCAGCAATATGTAGTTCAACTACAATAAAGATGCTGGTAAACATATCTGACCAGAATTGAGCCACATAGTAACATTTGGATACGGTCATGCAGAGCTGAACAGCACTGATGGAAGATACGTCACAACAGCTGTATAATTTATAGAAACCTTGATTTTTTTCTATTGTTTTTTCTTTTTTTTTTTTTTTACAGATGTCTTAACATTTCAGCGGAACATAAACAAAACCACTGTGACATCTTAAGACATTTACTGCGTAAAGCGAAGCTCAAGAATAAGGCAAAATCTAACTTCAAAACAACTTTCAAACTGTGGGATTTTTGCTCATTCGTATGACATCGAGGCACTCATACAGACCCATGTCAGGTAGTCAAAAGTTCTAGCATTTCTCTTTTTTATTTTAAAAATATCTCACATTTGTAATTATGTGACTGCTTTCTTTTGAAGTCTGCCTTTATTGCTTCTACTTTACTTGGGACTCCATTCAGCAAAGTGGTTAAGCATGCGTTCAAAACCTTAATTCGGAAAGACATCTCAGCTTAGGAGATGCTTTCTTCAAATAGGTCTTCAATGTTTTCTTTGCTAAAAGGGATAGACCTTGTTGTCTGTATAAGCACCTACATGTTTTGCTTGCCTGAAATGGGGATTCTGAAGGCAGGAAACCTTGATACTCTGAAAGATTGCACTATTTTGTTTTTTAAACTACACACACTTGAAAACTGGTTTTCCTCTTCATTGAATTCAGCTTCATCTAACTTTCTCACAAAACAGGTAAAGAGTTATTATTACTTTAACGGACTGGGAGATTTACTTCTAATTTTACATTGCGCTAGTACAGTTCTTAAAAAGTGATCTCATCATGACTGTTCACTGCAGTGTTCCATATGCTGTGGTACATGTATTATTACTGGTATATGAACCACTTCTAAATGTTAGGCATGCATGAGGCAATGGCAGAGGCGGCAGCAGCAGCAGAAGCAGCGAGCGGTTCCTCACCGCTTGTCTTTAGACACTTGCCAGGGAAACACAACCAGTGTGAACCAGCATAAAGCCTACAGGCCTAGTAGTGCTTTCGTCTGATATTGTGGGACCAGGCTGAGGAAAGATGAAGTAAAAATCATGGGAATGATAAACCGGAACATGCTTTGGGTGAGAGAGGGGGTGAGCATCCCAGTTTGGTGTAATGGGGGATGAGTGTGATAGGAGGGTAAGAAAGGCAAGGGTAAGGGACAGAGGGTAAGATGCTGTTTCCATGGGATGAAAGTGTGTGGTAATAAAAGTGGGAAGTGTGTTGTATGGATGAGCCCTGCTCTGTGGTGGCAGAATGTGAGTCAAGAAGGTGAGGTCAAGGCCATGGTTTGGAGAAATCGTGCCTACGTAGGAAGGAGGGCATTGCTATTGCCAGACATGTATGGCACCATCTGCCTCTGCCCCCCCTGCCAGTGCTGGCAGTTGAGCAAAGGTCTGTGAACAGCAGGTCTACTGCAGAGCTTTTCTCCTTATGTAACTCCCAGACCTTCCTTGATGTGATGCGGGTTTTCTGGGGGGTAATCTTTAAGAGTCCTGCTTGCTTTTTACGCTCCATCGTTTTTTCTACAATCTTTTTCTGCAAGTTTAAAATGCGTTCATCTTTCATAGCCCTTTCACCAGACTGGGACTTTCTTTTCTTTTCTTCTTGCCTGCAAAATCAAAAAGAAGCAATGAGAAGGTAAAATAATATCAGCCCACAGAATGAATCCATCTGAGCATATATTATCATGATAATAATGAATTTTCTCTTGCTTCTGGGAACCAGCTAGACTCAAAACAGGTTTAAATCATATAGCTTGATGAGTGTAGTATTCACAACTTGCTTCTTGCTGTTTACAGAACATCATCATTAAACAGTATAAATGATCTCTTCCCACAGGATGCCATGATGACAGTTTCTGAAGTATTTCAAGCCTGATATGACATTCTTTAGAAAAAGCAAAACGTGTGCAAAACCTGTGATAATACTGCAGTTTTTTGTTGTGAGAACTATGGAGTTTTCCTTATATGATCATCAGCATTCATCTTGATTGCTGTATTTCTTGGCAAATGAAAGATACTCTTTTCTGTGCAATCTTAATGCCCAGATTCAGAATCTATGGGATGGTGATGTATTAATTAAGGTTAGTGGGTCTAGGTGAGCATAAATTGATAGCACCATGTGCAGCATAAAAGTAAGGCATAAGAGAGATGTTATCAGAGAGTCTCTTTTTTTTTTTCCTTCTATTGTAGCTACTTTTCTGTCCTCTGGAGTTTACTTTTTTTTCTGGTTTTGCTTACTTTCACCCAACTGGCACAATTTACTCACAACTTCTTCATGTAGGTTACACCACCTTGCATAGTTATTCACTTACCATCCAACTTTCTCTTTTATTCAATATTGCCCTTGAATTTGGCTCAGTATGATCAAGCTGTAGTATTTATATTATGTCATGAGTAGCTGTGATTCTCTGGCCAAATTCAGAGCTAAAGTAAGTGTCAGATCTACCAAAGAATATACATAATTATACAATATACAACCAGGTTAGATCTGAGTCTTTCTCTCAGCTGGCAAGGATATAGTTTTGTAAGGAGTTCTTTCATACTGCAGTAGTACAACATTACAGTTGCTTTTATTGGAAACCAGATTAAGACTCCAAATGACCAAGAACAGAGAGCACCAGGACATTGTTCGGCTGATACTGTAACATAGTGTTTTCAGTATAAGGCGCACTCTTCTGAAGCAGCTGGAGGAAGGGGAAGAAGGAAGTTCCTTCTGATACTAAAGCCACTGATTTGCCTAAAAAAGTGTCTGTACCAAGAGTCCAGGGATCCAAACACTTCTTTCGTCTTGGGAGAGGTGGCTTTTGTCTGCCTTCTTAGCTCCATTTTTGCTGATAGGAAACTTTCTGTAACAGCAAGTATTTTTCAGAGCAGCCATTCTGGACTAGAGTTCTCAAAATCCTCAGGAACTGGATGAAGTGGAGATTTGACCTGTGTTACATTCTGAAATGTGACTGTGAACTCTAAATAAGGGGCAGAGCTTAGCTTGGCTTCTCATTTCCTGAGACACTTCCTGAACCTCTCTGCTACTTCTGTCATGCCATGTGGTTAGGATAACACTTCCTCATCCTCCTTAGTACTGTGACATACTCTGCCACGCTGAGATTAATTTTTAACTCTGTTCTGTAAATCTAAAAATTAAGTACTATCATTTGATATAATTGAGAACATGGATTATTTCTTTTTGCATTGTAACAAGGCATTGCATTCCAAGGGATATAGGAGAATATAACAATAAGGTTTTATGTAAACACTTGATGATTAAATATTATCAGTGGGAATAAGCAACAAAACCTTTCATTACATGCAAATCCAGATTCTTGTAAATACAATTACAGGAAATATAGCAAGAGATGAAGCAGCAGCAGCTGCTTCTGAATTAACATTGTAAATAGTTGCTTATCCTCAGAGTAATATTCAGTCCTCCTCTGCATGAAGTCATCTACCAGTCATCTACACTATTGTGAAAAGCTGCCAATCCCATAGGTTTTCAGATGCCACACCACATCATAACAGAAACTCAAAGAGGGGAAGGAATGAAAAAAGAAATTTTAAAATTCTGTTTTTCTGCGACGGTCATTTGAGAACTTTCAGGATAGAAGAAGCTCGTGTGATCTCTGTCACCCCATATCACGTACTTCCTAAGGAAGTAAGAATGGGGTAGTATATAGTTAGAAGAATCCTCTCTAGATTCAATAGAAAATTGTGGTACTTTATGGAAAAAAAATGCAGAAACTATTTTAATTTTACTTTTAAGTTTATTTACCAGCTACTGGTACTGAATGTGCACCTTGAATAAAACTCGATCTTTAAAAAATATACTAGTTCCTAAAATGTAATGTCAAATCTTTGGTCCAAAAGAGAATTTGTTCATTTTATTTTCTTTTGGTCTCTGACAAGAGTCTTCCATCCCTTTGTGAGTCTGCCATAATTAAAAAAAAATAAATTTCCCTACTAAAAACTTGGAAAAAATGTGTAATATTTTTGAAGTCCATGTGTATTTGAAATGGTTTAACAAACTCTAGTTTTTGCTTTGTGACCTTGTCAGAAAGTACCTTTTAGTGTTGAGGAGTGAGATGAGATTCTTGAAAGTCCTTACAGGAGTTTGTAGTAGTGTGGGGTGTACATATAAACTACTCAAAGGAGGACAAGTAAGGGATTAATGAAAGATTTAATAGAACATGGATATAAAAGCAAAGAGTGAAAATTCCTTTATCTACCACTGATTTCATTCTCTATTCACTTTCTGTGTAAGCTCTGTGTGCAGTCAACAGCAGAAAGATTTTGGCTGACTATAATGAAGTACAGAACAATTCCATCAGTGATGGGTGCCATAAGTGTCTTTCTACTTAAAATAATATTCCAGGCATTGTAAACTGCAGTTGACATCCCATATTTGTTGCTTTGATAACTTCCTTAGTAAATATAATGAATTTTAAAAATATGTAAGTATTTTTTTTATTTCACATTTTACGAACTTGTCATAGAGTTTGTTAGTCGAGCGTCGTCTTACTTACATATCCCTTGTAATTATTTAACTACCTGCCTTGCAATTTTAGCATCTGGCCAAATGGACTCTACGTCCAAGAGGTCATTCGGCCTATAACTGAAGCAGCAATTCAGCATTAAAGGTTTTCCTATAGGAAATAAAAACACTCGAAACAGTTGGATTAGGCCTTCTCAGCTATGTTTAAAAAATGAGGAATCTGAAGATTTGCAAAGAGGATTCCTCCTGAAAACTACATTTTGCTCTTCATTTACATTTTCAAACTCCAGCTTTACATCAAAAGTATAAGGAGTCAAATGTATGACAGCTCTCAACTGACTCCAAATTTAGGAGCTCGGACTGTATTTCTAAGCTCACCTTACAAAACAGAGTCTTGTGCAATAAACACAAATCTGTTTTTAAAGCAGAAGTAGGATTGCATTATAGTGTAATAAACTGTTTTTTTTTTATTTCCTCATACGCTCAGTCTCAGTGACTAGGGCTGTCTGTACTTCACAGTACCTTGCCTTTTTTCTGTCCTGCACTGTATAATCCTTAGTTATTGCAGTAAGGAAAATGAATGTATCTGTTAACAGTTCGCTGTTAAGGAAGTCATTATTTTGACATTTAAGAACACTACACTATTAAATTGATTACTATTTTGTACTAATGTGAGGGATTTAAGCACTCAAAATCTGACTCCCTTCCAAAACAATTAACTTATTAAGCACCTAATTTTAGGTGGGGAAGTGATTGTTATTCATAACAGTGTTTTTCTCGTTTGAAATAAAGAATATGAAACTGTATAATCAAAGTTCATTCATGGAATCACCGAGTAATTGAGGTTGGAAGAGACCTCTGGAGGTCATCTTGTCCACTTGCTCCTGCTCAAGCAGAGCCAGTTGCTCAGGACCATGTTCAGATGGCTTTAGAACATCTCCAAAGATGAAGAGCCAACAACCTCTCTGGGCAACCTGTGCCACTGCTCGGTCACTCTCACAGTAAAAAAGGTATTTCCTGATGTTCAAAAGGAACTTCCTGTGTTTCCTCTTGTACCTCTTGTACCTCTTACTGGTCACTACTGAGAAGAGCCTGGCTCTGTCTTCTTTACAGCATTTGCTCACATATTTACATTTCTGATCCATCATTGCTGATAAATTTCCTCCTGTTTCAATGCTAGTGAAGAGCTGGTTACCAGCAGTAGGGAATGAGAAACTAAATCTTACTTCCTTATTGCCAGCATATACAGAACCCTATGTATTTATGAAATTTGTGAAATTAATGAAATCACAAATATTATGAAGTACCAGAGCAAAGTCCCTTATATTGCTAATTATTCAGCTTTTTTCATCATTCTAGGCTTTGTTTTTGAAGACCTGAAGCAATAGCCACACATAGGGACAACATGGGACATGTTTCCCTGTTACATCTTTCCACCTCCATGTGCTGTCTTGCCCCTTCCCTCAGTTGCGTGCTGCATCACAGGGTTGTGCTGTCTTATGGGTTTTTGAGGATGGGGCTCTGTTCTCCTCTCCTCACCCAGAAGGCCTTTGACACCCTAAGTCAGACCTGGACACTCCAAGGAACACCTGCTTTAGGGAGTTTGTTCTACTTGGAAAGGACCATCACAGTTTTCCATCCATAACCCTCCCTTCTGCTTGTTCTCCTCACCCTTCTCATAACCAGCCTTCCCCCTTGCCCTCCTGCCATGGCTGCCCTCACTATTTCCACCCCTGCTCGGTTCATGCCAGGAGAGAGGTGTTACACTGGTGTGTGGTCCTTGGCAAGGAGGGGTTTGAGCACTGGCAAGTGACAGGGAGATAAAAGAGTGCTTTGCCACCTTGGCAAACACACCATTGTTTGTAATCCAGTGAGGAGACCCCAGCATGCTGCGCCATTACCACAGTGTGTGCCGTAAACTTTTGTGTTGGTGGGAATCTGTGCATCTTGTTCCTCAGAACAATTTTCGGATTCTTCTTCCTCATATACAAGGAAGTCACAGAGGATTAGTGTCACTTCAGAGTGTTGACCTGGAATAGTAGCTGCTACCTTCACCTGGATGTTGCCCTGATTTGGAGAGGGGAGGAGGCTCAGGCAGCAGGCACTGTCACATTGCTTGAAAATGAGCAGGAAAACAAATAAGGCAAGAACATGAGCAAGAACAGAAATAAGGCTGTCTTCCATGTACCTTACGTATGTGTCAGTGGCTGGTGGGGGCATGGATGTGCTACTATCATCTGTGTGAGCCAAACAAAAGGGTAGGGTGGTGTTCACTAGATGGGCTTGCACAGGAGCCAGAAATTGAGAATGTGAAGTTTTGTGAGATAGCTTTCCTCTGGACAGCTTTAAACCACATAAGTGATTAGAGCATGCAGTCCCACGACCGCACTAAATCCAACTCAAAGTAAGACCCCCGAAACCACAGACAATGAGGATGGAGGGAGCCTCAGCACCAACCAGTTTGATCTGCTGCTTGATTCTTAGAGCATTAAGTTACTTGCAGTAATAGATGTAGCCTCACTAGAATGACAGGAAATGGTACCTGAAGTATACAGGCATGCAAGTTTAGCGTATTCCAACACTCATAAATCTTTTGGTGCTCATGTTCAAAAGCTGATAACTCAAATGTTTGTCCACTTCATATGCCAGTGCTGATTTTCAAACTGTGTGAAATTCTAGCGATTAAAGGGACGCCCTGCACATGTACTGAATTGATTCTTAAGTGTTCTGCAAGCACTCACAAAGCCACTGTTGTGATCGATGTCACGGCTTGCACTCTGTTAAAGGCTGATGTCTCTGTAATTTTTCATGTTCCATTTCCTATTTTGTTTAATATGGCTCATTATATGCTTGCTCAATGTGCTGCTTTTGTGTTGATGTATGTCTGTAAATGATATTGAAAGGAACCTGCTTGGTAGGGACCCAATTAAACTCCAGCTGACAGTAACGAAAGCACATTTGTTTAGCAAAGCTTAGCCACCATACTTCAGCTGATTAGCAGTACCTTTCAACATAATGCAATTTAACATGTGAATTTATATTGATGCATAAGGCTATCTTATGAAGACTATTGGTAAGATTTGCTATTCTATCCCTATAATTATTAATTCTGTAAACATAAAGATTTGCTTTTTACATCTCTCATGCAGCGTATCAATAATACATCCCAAGCAATTAATCACTCACATTGACTTGACAGATATTTCAGGACTCGAGATCTGTAAATCAGGTTTAACACCAAAGCCTATAGTTTGTTGAGAGAGAAATAAAAGCTGCAGCAGAGTATCTAGCATTTGTAAACAGGCCACCACACCATACTTCTGTATTAACAGAAATAACACCATGGATTTGCATGCTAGATGACAATGCATTAAATACACTCCCAAAGAACAACATTTCTGGTATACTGTGATGATGCCTCTTTGTAGTAGATGCTCCCAAGTTACGAACATAGGTTGCCTGGGAGCCATGAAAGGAAATGTCTTAAAACACCTATAATGAAACTTTATATTTTCTTTATTTGGAGAGCAAACAGGGCTCCGTTAAAATTACTGTATTACTTATCATGAGTCTGACTAGAAGCTTGCAAATTAAGTGCTTAATTTCATTTGGATTCTACCTCTTTGGCATGCTATCTGTTCTAAAAAACATTTCAAGTATCAGGAAAAAGTGAATCAAAGTTAGCTTCTCATTCAAGCATAGCTTATTTTAGGATCAGAACAGTTTTAGGTCTGAATTAGGCCAAAAAGTCTATTTTAAAGAAACCCAGCACTACACAAAATTCACAGACTGCACATCTAGCATAACAAGTGATAACTTTAAGTGGTTACAGTGAAACAGGTTTTATGTAGTATACAAGATCTTAATGCCTAGTTTGCATCTCTGGTGGAAAGAAAGCGGTGGCTTGAGTTGCTCCCACAGGCTTTCACAACACTGAATGTTTAGTGAGGGGAGTATATTTCCAGCTCTAACTCAATTTCAGGTTCTTTAGTCTTAAAATCTTTTCTCAGTATGTGCCATAGAAGAGAGGGTCACTGATCTATGCAGACAATCCACTGCAGCTGCAGTTATTGATTCATTACATTCATTAAACTATTTTCTTAAGTACTAACATAGTAAAACCTCAGTCTTTGGAGATTAACTATCATCAACAAACCAAATTAGAGCTGGGACTAGTGCAAACTAGTTAAATGAATACATCAGTACTGCCTTCTGTAATTGAGATTTAGACCTGGATTATAAATCGGTAACATGAATTTAACTCTAAGAAGCCACCTTTGGTATCTCTGCAATAAACACGAATCTAAGATATGTCTACAGACATGTGTTTTAGCCTGATAGAATATCTTCAGAATGTCAGCCTGACCATCTGTTTGGAAAATAAATATGGCAAGACAAGGACAAGGACTAACCTCTCAAACTCACCAAAGGGAAAAGGTGAGGGACAACTTGTAAGAAAACAATGGCAAATAGTCCAGATGCAGCAAAAATGGCATAAGATCAAGAGGTGTGCCATATTTTACACTTTTACATAGGCTTTCCTCCTGCTCAGCTTTATTTGTAAATAGCTTTAACTTAGATTTTAAAGGCTTTGTGGAAGGGACCTGTCTTATGCATATGTGAAGCATCTACGATTGTTATGGATCCTTTATGACAATGAATAATAAATATGATAATGAATAATAAATATGAATAATGAATACAAAATTTGATCAGAGAGCCTGTAAGCAAAGATTTTTCTTTTTGATCTACTGCTATAATATATTTAATTTATAACTTATTATTGTTATCAGAAAATCTCCTTCCTAAAATATTTTTAACTTCTAAAACAAGGCCTGCCTTTTCACATAACAAATGAGGTTCAAGGAAGAAAACTATAGCCTTAATGTATTGGTTTAGGTGAAAATGAGGAAGCACTTTAAGCAGCAAGCTAAAATGTTTCTAATAAAATCAAATTAGTTCTCATTAGCTGAAAAGGAACAGAAGAAAGGCAGAATTTCTTTCTCAATATATAATATTGGCTCTGAATCCTGGGGCAATATTGTCAACACTAGCCTACGGAGTGTCTTCAACTATAAATTCAAAATGATGAAAAAGATTTGTTAAATCTGTTGAAAATTATTTTCAAGAATAAAAATGAAATTCTGGCCCCAGTGTAATCCTTGGAGTTAAGAAAGGGCAGTATTTTGCTCTCTACTTGTTTTCTTTGTCAAAGGATGCAATGTTGTAAAGGTCACATGGAGTTTTATACTGACTTCAAAGCAGCTGCTCGTCCAAGTTCTGCTCTGAACACCGAAATCTGGTCCAGTTTGTCTAGAAGAAGTTGTTCCTTAGCTCGTTTTTCATGAATTATCTGGTCTCTCTTCTCTTCCTCTGCTGCCTTCTGTGCTTCTCTGAGTAGAGCGAGGCGTTCACGTAGTTCCACTATTGACATTTCACAAATTAAACCATGGCCAGCAGTCTAGAGAACATGAAATATAGGTTTAAATAACACTGTAAATACCAAGAGGAGAGTAAATGAGTAAAAACAAAGTATTTTGATTGTGCTCCAAATCATGCTGAATATATTTGGACTTCAAGAAAAATAGGGGTGGCCCTAACCCAACTGTTAACTATAGGATTGTTTTAAGGTGTAGAGCTTATCTTTCGTATGCATAAAATCACAAGGCTTATAAAACGTTTAATGAATAAGCATTGAAATATACAGTAGACTAATCATAAATGCAATGTATTTGCTGTAAAAAAAATCTAGTTGACTTATCTTTTAGTTTAATTAGGCTTTTGAAGTTTTAAAATGTGTAAAACTGCATTGGTTTTTTTTAGTTTTGAAAATCAGAACAGACTTTACACTAAAAAATATGCATTTTTTGTATTTATCAATTTCCAAAGTATGGATTTGATCTATGATGGCATCTACTATTTTCATCTGAAAAGACTAGGACTAAACAATGCTTTGTACCCAGGAAATGCAGATCTTACTGCCCAAAGTTAAAATATTAAACCCTGAATATTTAATGAAGGTGTTTTAAAATCCACTTTGCAACGAGTGATAAAGAACCTGATTCTGAGATGTAATGAGATACCTCTGCACCTTAGTTTGCACACAAAGACAGATAATTTCTATGCATATTTGTGAACACCTGAAGTTTTTGGCCCTCGCTCTTACATATACTCTTCCTTTCCCTATGTCTACACATATATACGTCTGCATATATGGAACACTTGCATAAACCCACACAAATACTGAGCTGCTGTGTAGCTTTCTTTGCAAAATTTTTTCCATTTCACACCAACTAATATTCTTTTGTCTATCTTAACATAATTTTGGTACACATCTTTGGTGTGTCTCTTGTACCATGGCATGTTATAATGGAATATGTCCGTGCAGGAGGTCAAGATGCTAATCTGACACTTGCTGTACAGTCCTATAACATTAAGAGTGAAACACTGGTTAGGATTTTAATCACAAAGACCTTGGTCTACTTAGTTTCTTGGAACTGGTGACAGAAAATTAATGACAAAGTTTGGAAAGGATGAAGGAGTGGGGTGCAGAATCTAGAAGAACAACCACTCCTCCAAATTGTATTTCTCAGACTGAAATTAAGTGGTAATGATAAACATATCTAAGTAAAACTAATTACAGTCCCTTTACTGGAAAGAAATTATTCAGTTAAAGAGCAATCCTTTTTAGCAGGGAAAAAAAAAAGCCCTTGTATTGAATACTGAGCAAGTTGTTGACAGAATAGCAGTCGCTTTTCTGCTTTTGAGCTTTTCACAAAACAGAAAATGAAGGGAAAAGGAAAAAAAAAAAAACAAACGGGAAAAGAGAAGGATGCTCTGTCATAGATGATAGATGCTCAGATTGTCAGTTTGGCTGCAAGAATTGGCCTGGGTCCAGTCCCTCTTCTCTGGTCTGGGATGCCATCTAAGCAGTCTAGTCAGGTACTTGTCCTTCAGTGATCATTCTCTGTCTGTTCAGAGCAATGGCTCCATGAAATAGGGGGTAGGCCAAGAGAGATGAAGAAAACAGTAAGGTGAGGTAGGTGGGCAGGGGCAATAAAACCACAAAATAGAGTATGACAAATAACCAGGCTTGGCTCTCTGCTGCGACAACATTGGTGCTTAAGAAGGTTTATTATTGAGTTAATCTGGAGAATCTAATGATACCAGCTTGTCAGTGAAGGAGGATGTCTCTTGGGTGGTCATCCCTTGGGACTCCTCCAAGATTTCCAAGAGTCTCTCCTGCAGTTCTGGTCTCCATAGCTTCTCTTTCTAAAGCTTCAAAAGTTGAGTCAGTAAAAAGAGATCATCACTGTTTTTTCACCTACAGTCTGACTCTTCAATTTTGGCTCAGTGGTTTCTTCTTCCATGCTTCTTATGTGTACCAAACCTGACCTAAACAATGGTCGCCAGTAGCATCAGTAGAAGATTGATGGAAGAATTCAATACTAAGCAGTCTTATTTCTGCATCTCTTTGAAAAATATATACTGTCATAGGTTACTGAAAAAGTAAACGATCATTTATCCCCTTCTCAGCTTTCAATTGAGAGTGAATTTACAAACAGCAAGTGCTATGATACCTTGCCTCTAATTTAAACTAGTCAATGACTGTCCAGTTGTATTCACAGGAAGTGAAAGGAAAATGTTTTGCAACAGGGCATATGTACCAGTGGTAGTGTTTGAGCATGGCAAGCAGATATTGAAAAGGTCTAGGAGAGAAAATTTCATAGAAACATTGAATAGTAGAGGCTGAATATTTTGACTGTCTGCATTTCAAAAATATTCAGTGAAGAGAGTGAAGTGGTTCCTAAAATATGAAAAGTCCTACACATGCAGTAGATAATGCTGGTGTTCAAGCAACTTAAGTGCCATCAAGGGAAGAACTGGGTACTTTAAAAATTATGAGAATGAATGAGAATTTTATGGACACATACTTAATTTCTCTAAGCCTGAAAAAGCCTTTTGTAGAAAGAAAAAAACAGGGCAAGCTATCACCAGAAGCATGCTAATTCACTCAGAGTACTGTTGTAATGTTGAGTATAAGGGAATTGTGAAATTGAGATAAAGAATGATTTGGATTGGAAAGGACCTTTAAAGATCATCTATTCTAGCCCCTCTGCCATGGGCAGAGACATCTTTCACCAGATCAGGTTGCTCAAAGCCCTGTCCAACCTGGCCTTGAATACTTCCAGGGATGGGGCATCCACAACTTCTCTAAGCAACCTGTTCCAGGGGCTCCTCACCCTCATTGTAAAAAATTTCTTCATTACGTCCAATCTAAATCTTCCCTCTTTCAGTTTAAAACCATTGCCCCTTGTCCTGTCACTACAGGCCTTGGTAACTTTCTCCATCCTTCTTATAAGCCCCTTCAGATACTGGAAAGGTGCAATAAGATCTCCCCGGAGCCTTCTCTTCTCCAGGCTGAACAACCCCAACTCTGTCTTCATAGGAGAGGTGCTCCAGCACTCTCATCATTTTTGTGGCCGTCCTCTGGATCCACTCTACAAGGTCTGTGTCTTTCCTGTGCTGATAACCCCAGAACTGGATGCAGTACTCCAGGTGGAGTCTCACCAGAGCAGAGTAGAGGGGCAGAATCACCTCCCTTGACCTGCTGGTCACACTTCTTTTTTATGCAGCTTTCTGGGCTGAAAGTATGCATTGCCAGCTCCTATCAAGTTTTTAATTTACCAAGGTCCCCAAGTCCTTCTCCACAGGGCTACTCTCAATCAATTCATTCCCCAGTCTGTATGGATATTGGAGATTGCCCCAACCTGGGTGCAGGACCTTGCACTTGGTGTTGCTGAACTTCATGAGGTTCACATGGGCACACTCCTCAAGCCTGTCAAGATCCCTTTCCTCAAGTGTATCAACTGCACCACCCAGCTTGATGTCGTCTGCAAACTTGCTGAGGGAGCACTTAATCCCACTATCTGTGTCATTAGGGAAGACATTACATAGTATTGGGCCCAGTATGGACCCTTGAGGGATATCTCTCATTACTGGCTTCCACTTAGACATTGAGCCATTGACTGTAACTGTTTGGATGTGGCCATCCAGCCAATTCATTATCCATCTAACAATCCATCCACAACATTCAGGTCCATTCTCTTGTACTTGCAACATGACCTGTATGGCCACTCCATTTTCAGCAGCCTTACACTTTAGTAACCTTACACACAGGATAAGCTTGAATTTTGAATTATTTTTTCATATATGACTTGAAACCTGCTTTTTCTGCTTTGTCGTTTGAGATGAGCTAGATGGGAAAATGTATTTAAAGACACGTCGTGTACTCAGAAACAAACTATTTCAGTGGAAGCTCTATGTGAGGGGTCAACAGCCACTGTAAGCAGCAATGAAACAGACTAGGTTCAAAAATAAGCAAATGCTGACATCCCAGTCACCTTCATTTTCCTGAATGAGAGCCTGCATCATTTTACAGAAGTTGTGATTGAAAAGTCACGACATTTCCACATCTGACTACGTTATGCCATTGTGTCTTTGCAGCCTTGCAGATCTTGCGACTGAATCATCTGTGTACAAAAACGTGCGGTGAGACCATGCTAAGGGCTCTGCTTAGGGTCGATGCCACGTGCAACTCTGTCCGATGCAGTAAAAGACCTCTATATTGGAGTACCTCTTGGCATTTCCCTGCAGGTAGTTTACAGTATCCGTGGTGTACAATAATTCTCTGTACTCTTCACTTTTTTCCCTGCTTTTATCACTGTGGTTCAGTAATATTTCTCCACAAAGGTGTGGAGTGAGAACTGCCAGCTTTGGCTGGAAAAGAAGTGGAGAAGTGATGGCAATAGCCGTAAAGGCAACCAAAGAGAGTAAAGGGGAGCTGATTCTATTCTTGTTCACTTATTTCACACTTTAACATTAAATGTATTCTAAAATCTGATAAATTAGATGGAGGATCTTTCTGGTGGCTGCAAAGATAGTAGGTAGCTTTGGAATCGATGAATGGCTCAGTTCTACTCAGAGGAGCAGGAGAAAACCAAAGCATCATATTGACTGTTCCAACAGCCCCATGGAAGGAACACCTGTTACTTCTGTATGGTTTCTGCAGACTAGCCATGGATGTTTTTTGATTCATGATCTTCATTTGAATGCTCATGAAAGAAAGGAAGGAAACCCCCCGAAAGACTATACTTAAAATTGCTAGTGTCATTTTACATTATTTTATGTTATTCTTCTTTCAGTGTGGATAAGAAAAATGGAAGAGTATTTTCAGCTACTCTCATTTAGTGGTAAGATAACAGATTTCCAGATGCTGCCTAAGTCTGGAAATTCTGCAAAAGTGGGCATTGCAAAGCCCACTCTCAGGCATATCAATTGTTGTGCATCAATAGTGAGTCCCAGAATTTTGGAATACATTTACTGTAGACTTAACCACACACACACAAATAATTTGCACAGTAGAAGTGTAACAGCTCAGCAGGTTCTGGATTCTCTTGACAATCTCCTTCATATACCTGAATGTTGACAGTTTTGAAAGTACAAGAAATGAATTTTGCTGATTACCCTGGCAATCCCCACTGCAATACGAACAACTGTACATCAGTACAAAGTTTGTGTTCCTTTAGTCCTTACCCAGGACTGACAAATCTGTGAATCTGTGAAGATGGATAGAACATGTTGTCATCACATGTCAGTCTCTTTCTGAAAGACATTGGGAACCCAGATCCTGTTGGCAAAATTCAAAGAAAGTTCAAGGGGACTAAGGTTTCACTTAGCATCAGAATATTCTTCCTGGTAATATCTTCATTTTAAGAACTTTGTGAAAGTTCCAGTTCAGATCTAACCTTTGTGTCACGGGGTCACTTTGTACTTAATGCTGTGCATCCAGACCGTGATATATCTGCATGCAGTAGAGAATTCCTCTGAATGTGTGAAACATATACAGTATACATTTATGTAAAAATATAAGTTTTTCCTTTTGATCTTACCTCAGTTAAATCAACAAACTTGTGTCTGATGCTTGGTAAAGACTCAATAGCTCGTATTTGTTGAATTAATTCATATCTTTTCCTAAGCTTTTCCTCCTCTTCTTCTAAAGCTTGCCGAAGAAGTTCTCGATTTTCTTCACAAACTTCCTGAACTGAAAGAAAAGAGATAATCTCTGTTAGCTGGTTGCATGTTTTATTATTTGCATATTTAGTCCATCTGAAGGAAACTTGATATGCATTTGTGAATAATGATAGTAATATTGATCTAAAGGTACTTGAGGGAACAGTCTGGCATTGGTGGGAGGAATGATTAGGGAAACAAATGTGTACTTCCCACCTCCACTATCTATCATTCTATTCAACATGTAAACACACCATATGCACACATAAAGTAGACACGTTGAATTACTGCTCCGTAATTTCTGTTCTAATTGGTGCCTACTGTTTCACTATTTAATAAAAGGATATTATACAATAGCAAATATTCATAGTTTTTCAAGCTATATATATGATAGAAATCATTGAATTGCAAAGGCTGATAGGCTTTGCTAGGCCGTTTCAGAGTGGCTCACACCCCCTGCCGCCTCAACCCTTACTGGTACAAGTATGGAGATACACTAGCAGAGAAAAGTCTGCTCACCTACATACGCACAACTAGAGGTAGCCTGTTCATACAGTAGATGTTAACATGGCATTGTATTGGAATATGTACAGCCATGCCAGTAAGAACAGCCTTCTCCCTGGAATTCATTAGCTAATGCATTAACCGGGAATTTTCTTTAAGAATAATGGAGGATGAGTAACATTATTTCTCTTCATCCTAACGACTCCTCTGTCTTGGAGGTGCTACCTCCTTCTCCCTTGTGATACTGTCCTTCTAGGAGGTGGCTTTTCTTTCTAAGCTACGGTTTTCTTCTCTGGACTGTCTTCTCTGAAGAGGACAATAATCTTGAGCCATGATTCTTTCACAATGGTTGCTAGGCAAATCCTCTCTTAATGATATGAATCACAAGAATCTGAACTTCATAACCTGATTTGACAAAAAGTGCAGTCATTCACATATGCTACTTTTAGATGGAAAGGAAACTAGTTGCAGAACAATAGTGCTGTATTTCTGCCTTTTAAACAAGGATTAATTCCCATGACCAGTAGCTTAGAATTTCTGATCTACCCATTACCATCTGATTCCTGGAATTCATATTCATGCATTCATGGGAATATATAGCCTGGATCTTTCCCTCAATTTCCCTTTCCTTTCTGTTAAAATTGTAATTGGCCCACTTAAATAAAGATAAAGTAATTTGGGGGCATTTATCACCATCTCTTATTTTTCTGGCAATATATAAATACCTATCTGCTGTTTGTATTTCTGGAGCTTTATTTTCGCTTGCTTTGCATTCTTGTGTCCTTCCACGACCTGCTCCACCAGCTCTCTCATTTCTTTCTGTTCCTGTAGACGTTTCTCTGCATACTGGTGCATCAGCTCTGATTTCTAAATCCCAAACAAACAGGTGAATAAAATTCCTGGTAACTGGTGATCTGAGTGCCTCAAATAATTGAAATAGCACAAGGACAAATGGATTCAAAGTATTACATCATCCACAACAGTAGCAAAGGACATTGGCTGGGGACAACATAGAAATCCAGATTTAAGCTCCCCTCTCTATGTTTTATTTACCCACAACAGCCCTCCATAACATTTCCACTGCCATTTTCCAGGACTTCCTCCCACATGTTTCTAAAAGCAGACAAAAAAAGCCATCTCTGGATCTGGTTGTGAGGTAGTAAGAAGACTGCCAATCTAATACACAGCTGGTTGTGTGCCTGCAGGATCTTCTTGGACCTAAGTCTTATCTCTGTAACATACAAAAAGTCAACTTTCATCTATCACGTTCCTTTTTTTGTCAGAGGAAACAGAAAGCAGGAAACTGGAATTCTGGAGACTAGATTCCTTACTATACTTTCTGGTTTAGATGGAAGACTTTCTGGTTTTAAAAGAAGGAAGGGGGTCAGCATGACAGCCGTCGGTGAATGGAGAATTGGTGCTCAGTACTTCTGGAGATCTCCATATGGATGAAGTGCCCTGGTGGCATCTGTTGGCAAGCGAAGGAAGCTGCCTGGAATTGGTCAGATTAGAGCAAGTCTGATTTGCACATCCCCAAATCTATGCGTATTGGGACATTTCTGTTAACAAATAAAACACTTATGGTCTGAAATTGAGGTGAATATAATAATTACAGTGATTTTGGAATGAGTGTGAGCCATCACACTATGCTCAGTTGTACATAAGGTTCACTTTAAGTTCTTGCTACAGCCTATCTAAACAGACATGAAGACTCAATGCCAAAAAAGGTTGAAAGATTTTTTTAAAGGCCAGAGAAGGAACTCATTAAGCAAATTTCCCTTTTGCAACGTGGACTTTATGAAAATCTTGTATGTTTGTGGTTGCATCTTAGGTTGCTGAGACACTGCAGAGATATCTGTGAGAGATGGCCAAGAGAAAAGTACTTGTCCTACAGGGCACAGCAGCAAACCAGGCTAATAGAAAAGAAAAGCCTGTGATAATGACTGAAAAATTTTAAATCTATAGTATTAGTTATTTCTTGATCACTAGTTTAGTTTATAGGAAAAGCACTGGAAAAATATAATGTGAGTTTGGGGAAAAAAAAGAAAAGATCTAGCAATGTTTTTGGGAAACTGTGATTTGCCACATCAGAAACTGTGTGAAAATACTTCTTGGCATAAATATTCAGTTTTCCATATATATAGATCCAAAGAGAGTTCTCTGCCTGAATTTTCCCCAAAGAGAGATCTAGGCACGTCATATAATATAAAGTAAATTGAATTATATCAGTTTAAGAAAACAAATTATTTCATATTTGTGGTGCTCATTTTAACAAGATAATGATATTAGTCATGTATTGTTGATTTCATTGCAAATGGTGCTTAGTGTCTTAGTATGTGTTCAAAAAGGATATCCACAATGACATAGATGTAGAGGAGAATGCCTTAACCTTTTGTTTTGTTCAGTTTACTTTATAAGTGTTACCAATCAAATCAAACATTGTAAAAAGTACTTAATATATAAGCATTGCAGTGTCTGGAAGTTATGGCATTATTTTTCCATTGTTTGCAGACTCCAGAGAGTAAAGACACTGTATAGAACTTTTACAACTTCTTATAGTAGGCATCATCTGTGGCATGTTTTGCACTGATTGAATGTACACAAAATTTGAGCAACACTGTATGCGTTACCTCTTCTCTCATTAGGTCAGCTTTCTTCTTGTTTTCTTGAATTACATTCTGATGGGCTAGAACTGCCTCTTCATGACTCAGTTTCCCTTGAAGCCTCCTACACTCTATATCAGTCAGCTGCTCCTCCAAATCTTTTCCACGCATCTGTTTTTGCCATTCCAAGAATTCAGATGGGTCTCCAGCCCCTTGTAGCAAATTTTCAATTCTGCAAGAGAGAAGAAAGAGTATATGATTCTAGGAATCTGACTCTGCAGCCCTGCCTTGGTTCATAAAATATTTCTAGGAATTTGTTGTGATATAAAGTATTCGATCTCTGTAGAGAAAAAAGGCAGTCATCACAAAGTCATTTGACAGATATATTTTCATTCCAGTTTAAGAAGTGTTCCTACTACGTGGGAAGCGAGGCTGGAAGGAGATGCATGAGGACACGGACTTGAAAGTTTTCCGTAAAAAAAAAAAACAAGAGAGGGCAAACTGTAGCTACATATGGATTCTCATAAGGAGCAAGGAGAATCAGGCTGAAGGTACGTACCTTTTCTCAGAGGATTACTTTGCTCAGAGGTAAAAAGAAAAAATAATTTCTCTCTTTGGCAATGTTCTTGGCTACTTTAAGACAGAGAAATTAAAACTTTTCTCCTTAATTCTATTTCTGTTTTGTATTTTGTTAATTAAATAATATTGCTGCAATAAGGCAAAGTAATATTCAGCTATTAAGGAAAACCACGCTCTTATTTTTTGTGCTCGGCTGAGAGAGAAAAGCGTAGCAAAGCCCTGGGGCGGGCCCATCAAAGTCCTGCAGCAGAGGATGGAATGAGTCAAGAATTGGGGCAGAGACACAAAAATGCAGTGAATTGCACCTTACTGCTGCTCCCCAATGCGCATATATATATATCTGTTTTGTGTTAAATTCAGCTGAAGATCAAAACTCATTAATATAAAATAGTGTTAAGGTATGGGGAAAACATGTTCCTTTGCTGAACAAAATTCTGCCAGATAGAGTGAACAGTATCATATGGAATATAAAAGAACCTCACTCAATGTACAGACATAGCTGATAACAGACCTTGAGTGATGCATAATATCTTACTGCTAAAATCCTGATCCATATATGAAAAATTTGCTAGGTTCACAGACCAAATCCAACCTTAGGCAGTCATTCCAGGACTTAAAATGCTAACAATATTGAGTCCTTAGCCTGTTAATTCAGGTGGATTAGAAATAATACTAAATCAAGATGACATGATACAGGTTTTATCTTTGTTAAAATTATTAGTGAAAATATTAAAATTATTTACATTACATACTAACATTAGTGAAAATGTTAAAATTATTAGTGAAATACAACCTGCAGTGGCCATTCAGGAGTCACTCTCTCCCTAGTTAATGTCAGCTGAAAACCTGTGCTGCTGAGTAAGGATTCCTTATGTCAGAGGAATCTTTCTATCAGGATTCCTTAGAGCCTTAAGTGCACTCAAAGAACCCGCCACCTCTTGTTCCCCTCTCCTGCTAAGATTTAGTTGCTTGTGTTCAAAGACAGCTCTGTAGCAGTGCAACCGTGTAATGTTGCATCAGGCTGCAGTGAGAAGAGCTGTGTGAGGAAGAGCTATGAAACGTCCTGTTGTGTGTGGAGAGTTTCTTCCCGGGAGCCACGTTTAAGCTGATGTTAGCAGCCTTTGTCCTTGCCTAAGCTATGCTGTAGGTATGCCTGCACCCAGCCTAGTACCTCGTTGACGCTGCCTTGCTGACTTGGCTTCCTGGCTTGACCCCGGCCCTGGCTCGTCACTGCAGACTCATACAGCAGTCACTGGACCATTGGCTGATCCTGCTGTCTGCCACTGGATCTGCTCCACTGCCTTGCCAGGGTACTATCGAACTGAGCTGCTGGTCAGCAAGGACATTGTCCCTACGTGTCTTGCTGTCACCCTCAGCTCCTAGCTCATCTTGCCCTGTGGAGCAGCATGCCTTTAGTCCTCCGTATCTGACTGTGATAGAAAGGGACAAGTATTTTTATACACATATAAACAAGTATCAAATTTGGCATGTAGCTGACCACAAACCACTGAAGAAATTGGAGGTATATGAAATGAATTGGCTTAGTATATATGCATCTTTTATAATGGACACAGAAATAGATGTGTATTTGGGTCATTATTTATTCTGGAGAATTGGAATAAGCATAGGAAGTGATCTTTACTGGACTTGGCAAGCGCACAGTAGCTAGAGTGCTAAATCAGAACACAATCACACTGGTTGGCATCTACAGTAAAACAATGACTTTAATGTAAACTTTCATTTCAGTCCACTTTTCTTTTTATTTGTCAACTTTATTTATAGAATAGCTTCCTAATGCTTTACAACAGATCCATTATCTTATTTTACCGGAGTTCACTTAATTATTTTAATGTGGTTAATTATTCTATATCTAGGGACATGAAAAGTAATCTGAGAGAGAAGCATGATTATACCTCTTGAGCTCTTCTTCCATTTTCCGCTGATAGAGGGCACCCTCTCTTAAAATAGCCGCGGCATTTAATTTGATAGGTATATGGTCAATCTGTCAGGAAAGGGAATGTATATACTATAGTTAGTAATGTAAACCGTAAAAAAAGAGCATAAAAACATTTCAAAGGGTTAAATAAATTGACCTAAGACTGCATAAATTTTGCTTAAAGCATTCATCTAGCATTGCTCTGACATTCACAATGAAATTGCATGCTGTTCATAAACCACTCAAGCTGCTTAAGAAATCAGCAAAGTCCTCCAAGTGGATTATAAATTTGTAATCACTTTTGGACCATGTCAAATCCCATAGAATGTGTTCACTTCCTTTCGTTTTTTTCAGTGCTCATATACATAGTGTGCAGGGATTCCATCTGCTTTGGACAAAGAAAATAAACTGCTCCTCTGAAAGACAGTAAGTTAACCAAAACCATTAAAGGAAAACATAAGCAGTACCTTTCATAGGAAGATGTCAAAACTGTTTTACAAATAATCACTGTTATAACTTCAAAATAGTTCTAAGACAACTGGCATCACCACTTGCCATATATCTATTTTCTAGATAGTAGAAGTGAAGTACAGTTCTCAGTGACTTTCAGTCCTCCTGGCATAACTTGGACTAGATCCTGTGGCTGCTTTGCAGTTCTTCAAAGTATTGCCTTAGGACTAACTCCCAGACAACCTCTAAATACTGAGGGAGGAAGGGAACAATGTCTTTGCCATTTAAAAATGTTCCCTGCACAAGTAGGCTATTCAGAAAAAATATATCACCTTTGCAGACACATACAATAGACCTGATCTGAACGGAGGCAAAGCAGTGCTGGTGGGATAAGAGCTGTGATCATTCCTGCAGAAAACAAAGCTTAGTCACGATACATTTGACCTAAATCCAGACAAGTTCTGTGTTCAGAATCCAAACATGTATTTAAATTCCAAATTAACAGCTTAATGAGTGGCTGAGAAACAGATGCACAGAATCACTCAAGCTATATACTGCAAATATTGTATGCACAAATACGTACTGCAGTCTCCTGAAATACATAAGCTAACTGGAAAAAGGATGTTTTATAATTGATATTAATTAGGTAGGATAACAAACACGTTATCACCTAGAAATTCACTAAGTAGAATTACTGTGCTTTCCACACAGATGGCACATTTTAGTGGACGAAAATTAATTACCTCTCTGTGTCTTCACAAAATAATGATAACTTGAAGAACTTAGGAAAAGAACCCAAAACAATGTATTTTATTTCGTTTGTTTGACTCACTCTAGTTACTCCTCTTAATGCCTAATGATATCCTTCCTTTTGATCTACTCAACTCTACTCGAAGTCTTCTGCATTATATGAACATTTCCTCTCCAGCCTGTATTTTATACATTGTCCTGGCTTAGAGCAGACATTTTCATATTTTTTTGCACGTTTCTACGTTTTTTGACACGTAGAAATTTTCATATTTTTGGCAATTAGCTGTGTATACAGATTTCATGTTCTATATTTACTAACTGTAATTTGGATAGAGAACTAAACTAAGAATGATTACAGAAATACTTTTAAGTTCAGTTTCCCTGTTTATGAAACAGAAATATGACTGAAGCCCATATAGTCAAAATAACTAGGACTCCCAAGATATATGCAGACAGGTATAAGTAAAATAACTGAATAGATTCTTCTATGTCACATGGTATCAAGGAAATTTTGTATTTTCCTTGTTCTCTTCCTGTGATGAGATATCTTCCCTTTTTTCAAGATGAGAAAATGCAAATAATCGGGGAAAATGCAGAACACTGTAATTCTTGTGGAAAAAAACTCTATTCACTATTTCCACCTAATGAACACACAATAGCTCACCAAACCCAATACATATGTAAAGAGCAGGGCCTGATATGAGCAAGAGGCAGACTGAGACAGAGTGATGATGCATTTGTACCGTCTCATTCTACCAGTGAAAAGGATGAATATTTTGTAACAGCAATGAGAAATAATTGCTGCTGCACATAATAAATGTGTCTGAAATGAAAAAAAATGTATTTAATAGACTGCAGGTGTTCTAAAAAGAGGAAAGGAAAATACTAGTTGGCTAAAACATTATACAATTTCATTAATTTGAGGACAGATTATAACCTTATTTATACACCTTGGATAAACCTTCCTCTTAGAATTTGTCTACTCACAGAGTTGCACAGGCAGGAAGGCAACAGGAATAGAAAGTATTTTAAAAGTCAATAACAATATGCCTATTTCAGCTTGAAATTTATAGCAGCATCTCGAATGTCACCTAACCAATCTTTAAGGAAAATGTGTTTGGATGAGATAAAACTGATTGTGCTCCTACAGGAGATACTAGCAGGTGTTAGAAGCACCCCTGATCAATGCCATGAGATGCTAAATCCATATTTTTCTTTATGCAATTTAGGCAGATGATTTGACTCTCATTAGTCCACACTAAGGTTTCAGTATTTTAAATTGTCAGAAAAGCAAGTGAAATCTACATAGTCTTGTAAGCCCAGATAATTACAGGTCATGCGTGTTTGGGTTAACTATGTAAATATTTCTTGGGTTTTTTTTTTTTTCCCCTCTTTTGAGTGCAGAAGAAACTAGGATCTTACTACTCTTCTGTAATTTAATGCTGCTGGATTGTAAGCAAGCAGACTAAGTAGGTGATACTGTTATTAAAGATAACTTCACTATGTGATAAATGACAGATATGCTCTGGAAATAGTTGCCAGATGCCCAGTTTCCCAAGTAGGGAATCAGTCTTTCCAAAGTGTATATGAGCTGTACCTAAATACATAATTTTAAAGAGTAGGTAGACCTGCTCACAAGATATTTGAGGTCACAATACAAGCACAGCTTCCACATTAAATTATTCTGCATATGAACTTGAAACAAATGAAAGGTGACAGACTGAACAATGTAAGACTGAAGATTATCTGCAGTACAGTTATTGCAGAAATAGCAATGTGAGTTTTGTATGTTACACCATTAAGGCTGAACAGCCCATTTTCCGTGTTTATAATTCTCTGTCCCTTGGAAATCCTAGTACAGAAGCAATCAGTGTAGTGGATTTTATGACCTCAGTATATGTCTAAAGGAAACAAGACAAACATGAAGACTGATTGTATATTGTGTATCAGTCGTTAGCTGAAATGATTGCTCAGCATTCTTTAGGATTTACAGATACAAGATTCTTCTGTCCCTATGCTGAGTTCTTACATCAGGGGTTCACAATTCTTCTTTTCCTGTGGACTATTCTCAATTCTTGCCATTTTACATAAAAACTTCTCCCTTTGGATCTGAAAACACTGTTAAGGCAATATGGTGACATTGTGCAACTGCCCACACCTTACCTGTCAGGGCCCTCAGGGAACCAACAGGACCAGCCTCACCTAGGACCTCCACTCATAGCCTCTGCTCTCTGGTCCAGGAGCCTCACTTAAGCTCAAATATGGACTTCAGTCCTTCCCCATTATGTTGGAGGTAGTTCTGCTCCGGGATGTCTTTCCAGTTCTGTCTCCTGCTGTCGCAGACCTGGGTTGCTGTTGTAGACTTGTCTCCTGACTGGACTTCCTGGGTGGACCCCTGACCTCACTTGTTACCTCGCTTTGCCTAAGGATGACTTGCTGTCAGCAAAACCCGTCCCTACCACCAACCTTGTCATGTTCAGATACTGTGGCCTGGTTGGTGAGAGCACTGTCTGTCCTTTCCTTACCTTTTACTCCTTGTTTCTCTTCCCTGCTGGAGTAGCCACACTCTGTTGCTCCCTTACCATTTCTTTGTGGATTGTTAATAGTGGATAGGCCGAAAATCATGAGCTGTAGATGCAATCCATCCCATTCTCTTGGCTACAGAACTTAGTGTAAAAACATGGATTCCAGTAGCGTTTTCTTCACCACAGAATTTGCATGCATGCTTTTCACTCCAAAGTTTTCAAGTACATCTGACAACAGTACCTTAAAGGCTACTCACCTTGCTTTGGATCTTTTGAGCTTGGAACGCTGGTTTACTCTTCATACTGTCATGTGTGATCTGCAGTTCAAACCAGAAATACATTATTTCATTTCAGAGACATATTTTCAAGTACTCAGCAAAAAATATTCTATATTTACCAAAAATCACTCTTGAGTATTCATCTACAGTAGCATTTACGATCATAGGGGACATATTTTGGAATTGTTATGTACACCAAACTTAGTGGGAATATTTCATATCAAATTACTATACAAAGGTAGGTCCAAATATTGACTAAAATTTATTGACTGAAACAATGCTAAAAAAGTAACAGTTATGTTTTGTTTGACTATGAAATATTACCTATATATAAATATATTCATCTCTTAACTGAAACAGATATTGGGAAGACAAAATATGGCATCAAAGCACACCTGATGGAATTATGGTAATTAATTTCATTTTATGTTTATCATGTTAGCTATAGATACTGATGTGGAAGTGTCTGGTACCATGGGGATTAACACAGTGAATAGAATACGCAGATGTGATGCTGAAATGAATATATTACATACGTAGTTTGGTGTCATAGTTGTAAACTGGGAATCAACCAAAACAATAATTCTATATGAATGGGACCATATTCCCTCAGCTTGGATGCTCTGTGGCATAAAAGTTAATGGAAAAATAATATGTGGGTTTAGAGATATATTGACAGTTTGGAGACTTCTTGAAGTAGTATCACAGGAAGGCTGCTTGTCTCAAAATTAGGAGTCTAATAAAGCAGCACCAGAACTACAAGAAAAGGACCTTGTGCATTATAATCCATAGAGGGAAATGTTAATATATTACATCTGAAAACAATAACACGGATGTGAAATGACAGTACAGCTATAAATGATAGCACATAATTCCTAACCCCAAACAAAAAAATTTTCCAACACTTTGAGGTATCTTTAAATACTCCAGTCATTTTTCATCTTCATACTGGGGGATTTTTAGGTAATAAAGTATTTTGTAGCATACCTCTCCCTTTTCAGACTTCATGGTTGCACACCTGAACTGGTTAGCATTTGCCTTCTGAAGCAGATCCTAAAATTAAAGCAATTAGCTTAAAGAGTATGGTGCATTTAAGTTCTCTAATAAGAATTTTCTGTCTTGAAAAGCCTTGCAGCCCAGACCAGTATATTAATTTGTTTCCAATGAATGAAATCTTCACTTGATAATTATATGAATTTTCATTCCTGATTAAAGACTTGAAGCAGGCAAATTTTGATTTTATGCATGGTTCTGCCTGTTGTATCCTTTGATGATGTAGTGCATCAAGCCTTTGATAGGTCTGCCCTTACGAAACATGTTGCTTATCCAGAATTCAACTTAAAAGCCTCATAATTATCTATGGCACATCAGTACCATAGGTAGTAACTGTTTCCCAATGGCTAACAAGCAATGGCTTTGTTTTTGAGTTAAATTAGATTATGATCAGGGGATCCGAGCACCAAGGGTTGCTCCCATAGGCACAGCCCTGACAGTAATTCCACCTGTCCTTTTATAGAATCATAGAATCATAGAATGGTTCGGGTTGGAAGGGACCTCAAAGATCATCTAGTTCCAACCCCCCTGCCATGGGCAGGGACACCTGCCACTAGATCAGGTTGCTCAAAGCCTCATCCAACCTGGCTTTGAACACTTCCAGGGATGGGGCATCCACAACTTCTCTGGGCAACCTGTTCCAGTGCCTCACCACCCTCAGAGTGAAAAATTTGTTTCTTAGATCTAATCTAAATCTCCCCTCTTTCAGTTTAAATCCATTGCCCCTTGTCCTATCACTACACACCCTTGGAAAAAGTCCCTCTCCAGCTTTCTTGTAGGCCCCCTTTAGGTACTGGAAAGCTGCTATAAGATCACCCCAGAGCCTTCTCTTCTCCAGGCTGAACAGCCCCAACTCTCTCAGCCTGTCTTCATAGCGGAGGTGCTCCAGCCCTCGGATCATCTTCGTGGCCCTCCTCTGGACTCGTTCCAGTAGCTCTATGTCCTTCTTGTGTTGGGGACTCCAAAGCTGAACGCAGTATTCTAGGTGGGGTCTCACGAGAGCAGAGTAGAGGGGCAGAATCAATTCCCTCGACCTGCTGGCCACGCTCCTTTTGATACAGCCCAGGATACGGTTGGCTTTCTGGGCTGCCAGCGCACATTGCTGGCTCATTTTCCCTTTTTTAAAGGGGAAAGTACAAGCAGCCACATTTCTAGTTTTTGGATATTTCTGTTGGTTGTATACATAGTCTCTGATCAAAGCTGTGATACACAGACTACATTTTCTAATGGCTTTCTGTTCAGCAGCTGTCCATAACATCGTCGCTTCCATAACTGTCTAGAGTTTGGCTTCCAGTGTTCTCACTCCTTCCAGATGCTTAGACATGGTATATATAATGACAGCTATAGCTTCTGCAAAAATGCTATCATACAAATGGCATTTTTAGTATATATTTCTTTTAGGACCCAACATTTCAGCTTGTTTAGCAAATAGTCTAGGGAACTGACCTTTGTGAATGCTTTGGATGCCTTTTATAACATTCCAGAGGCGATGAAAACTGCTGTTATTGTAGCTATAATTTCTGTGTGGTTTCCCTTTGTTCCTTGTATTCGTGTATGTTCTCTACTGAGGAATGTGGCTGGTAGTTAAGTGATTATTTTATAGGTGTCATAGATTTTTGACACTATAGGCTCTGCGATATCTTACTTTTGCTCCCCAGTTTTTCTAGGGAGTTTGTACGTACAAATAAGCACACAAATAGGTGTGTACGTACTTTCTCCACAATAATGGAGATAATAAAAGGTTAGAAAATAATGTTGTATTGTTTTCTAATGAAATACCAAGCATAGGCAATGTCATGGGCCAGCAAAAGGAATGCAAAGTTTATCCTCCTAGAACCTCTCACACATTAAAGCATGTACTATAGTTTAGGAACAGAATCCAATGCCCCTTTCACAAGGACACGAGGAGAGCCCAGAACAGTGATAAATGTACTTGTACTGGCTAGTGAAAGTTGGCATAAGGCATTTTCAGAATGGAGGTGGGAGAGTGCAGATAAAAAGGACTCAAATAGCATGCCTTTTATCAAGCTTATACTGTTACTCGATTGGATATGGTGATTGCAGTGAGAGGAGGAAGAAAGAAAGTGGAAACTGACATTTAATTAATTCCCTTCCAAGGAGAAGACAACAACAATCTGCTTTAGCTATGATAGGAGCTAACTCATTGAACAGGATTCATATCAAAGTTTGGATCAAATAACTAGATCTGTTTGCTTGTTTTTCCAGGCCTTCCCTTTTCCTGGTCTCTTAACACACAGACCATGTACTCTGCTTCTTTACAAATCATGATGATTTCCCACTCTCTTAGCCTGCTGAAGGAAAGAGTATGGAGTCTGCACAAGCAAGAAGTCAGAATCTGCTGATATTTTAAAACAGTGAGTGATGACGTGGTTGTTTATCAGCTACTATAGAAAACAAAACAAAACAAAACAAAAATGTTGAACATATTTTGCTTTTGTAAGCCTTAATTATTAAGTGAATACCTTAAATATCCACATGTCCTGTGGGAGTAAAGGAGCCATTGAACTATCTCAAGCTTGTAAAGAGAAAGTAATTATGTTTCTGCTACCTTACATGGCTACTTGCATATTTTCTTATGTAGTACTTGTGCAGTGAATAAAAGGTGGACCTCATCTCAGACAATTAATAATAAAAGAAGAAAGATGGAAAAAGGGTGATAGAAACTTCATAACTCTAGAGAAAGAGCCAGGAGCTATTAAGTGCAAAAGAAATATATTTCAGATAAAGTTCTAAGACTTGTGAAAATGGAATATTACAGAAGAAACCATTTAGAAGAAAGAAAATACTAGAACAAGAACATAATACACTTACTTCTGCTTTTTGGCGATTTTTTGTTTTGATTTCCTCTAGTTGCTTTTTTTCCTTTGGAGGTCTGTAGGTGCTTGGAGGAACCTATATTAAAAGGCAATAATCTCCACAATATGGGGTATAAAACATTCTAAGTGACACATTCTTGCAGGAAAAAAACAACAAGTTACAGAGACTCCGAAGAAGTTTAGGGAAGATAAATCCTTTGAAGTTTATTAAATATCCAGTAAGTTCATTATAACTGAGGAAGCCCTTGAGCTGAAATGGTGGGAGACTGAGAATTCAGTTGGAGAGAGCAGCCGCTATGCTTGGCCTGTCCCTGTAGTCTTCCTGGACATCTGTGTTTGGCCACTGCTAGAGAAAATACACTGGGTAAAATGGGCCTTGGTCTGCTATGGCTGTCCTAATGTGCTTGTAAGGGAATACTGTTAGAGGTGTAGATTAAATGTTTGGAGGTAGGGGACTGAGAGGACCTTCCTAGCATTAGTCAAGGATTTGGGAAAGCATTCGCGTGTCAGAAAGTGTTATAGATAAAATGACCAGGAAAGACTTATAATCTGGCTGTCATATGGATCAACAGGACACTAGGGACTGTATGGTTTTGAGATAGGCAGAAGCTTCTGAGGGATTTCGATATTTGCATTAGCAATACATTTTGCCCAGAAGCAAACTCTGAAAACAGACTGGATGTCTTCTTCCTATGTGGGTGAGATAGTCTGCCAGTTTACTGGACATCTGTTTGAATATTTATCTTGCTAAAAACGTTCTAGCTCAATTAGAAGTTACAGAATTAATTCAAGAATTAAAGGGGAAAATTCTATAATCTGTATTATACCGGAGGTCAGTTGAGGGAACGTGGGGATCCCATCTAGCTTTACTGGACTATACAAAGAGCTATGCTTTGAAAAAACTTGTGAATCTGATGTACTTTCCACTGTCTTTGCTATTTGACGTCATTACCTGCAGGCAAAACAAATGCACAAACAGAAGCAGCTAGCAATTAAATGCACTGGTGAGACTGCTCAAGTATTTTTGTGAGCTTTTTAAGCGAAGTAGAACTGAAAGTATTTCTCAGCAGTATCTAAGAATTTTTATTATGCTTTTACGAATGGAGAAATTAAAGCCCAGAGGATTTGCAAAGGGTTGCACAGGCAGTGAGTATCGGTTTATTTCACTCTTCTTCCTAGTCATGTGCTTTATCTGCAAAACTGAACTCATCTGCCAGTGTAAGCTGAAAATCTCTCCTCGGAAACTGCTGTGCTTATTCCAAGTAATTTAAGGAGGAGACTTTTCAATCAGCTCTGTTTCAAAAATGATCTTAGCCTTGTAATTTAGCCCTCTGATACCATAGCGATGAGTACCAATCAGACGGACAGATAGACAATACAGCAATTACCCGGTTGCTGGAAGAGGATGAACAAGTCACTGTAAGTATTTTGTAAATTCCAGCAATAGAGAGATCAAAAAGGCCAAACTGCACCTATTTAATCCTAATGTGAAAAAGAGTGGGCTGGGAGTAAGAGACACCAGCCCTGCTTTTCCTCTCCAGCCAGTGGCCAGGCTCACCTATGCTTTCTGGGTATCTTTTTACCAGAGGTTTTTTTAGGGAGTAGGTACCACAAGAAGTTTAAGGAAGAACAAAATGAATAATCACTTTGAACTTTGGTAGTCATCACTCTTCTATTTTTTTTTAAGTTACTGTAGTAAGATGGACAAGGGCAAGCTAATGCAATGCTATTGTATTAAGAGCTTCTATTTTTATACATAAGATCATAAAGATAAATATATTGTTGGGTCTGTATATTTGCAAACAAAATCCTCTGTATTGGCCAAATGAATTCACCCATTTAATTATTTTAAACCATCAAGCAACTCCATTCATAAAGCACAGCTGAAATAATAAGGAAAATACCTAAAAAATATACGAAATTTGGCTGAATGGTGTTAGAATAATGTCTCAGTGCAGACTTTTTTTTTTTTTTAACTACATTATTGTTTTATAGAAAGTCTGAAAATAAAATAATTGCATAATATTATTATGCTAGCACAGTGGTGATATTAAAAGAATGGATTTTATTTGTAACTCAAGACCAAGATATCCAAGGAAGTTAAATGTGTCCAAATCATTTTGCATGTTATCGGGTTTAAGCAACTATCTCTGTTTCCTTTGCAAACTTTAAGCTAAAGCACTCAGTTTCCTTTGTAAATTGCATGCAAAATGTATGTATGCATGTGTGCATGCTTGTGTGTGCATCCATGTGCTTGTGTGCAAACGACAGTGGAGAGTGGCATTTATAATCTTTAGACTAAATATTTAGAGTGAAATGTTTCATTGTTAAATTTCAAAATTAAAGTGTTTTTCCTTTTCACTTAGTGGCACCCATTTCTGATGGATGAATGTTTATCCTAACCTTCTAGGCCTATGTTACTCCAATGAAACTTTCCAAGGTCAGTGGAGAGTCCCATCCCAATATAGATCACTAAGACAACTGCCCTGCCTTCTTCAATAACCCACATCTCCACTCCTCTCCTGTGAAGGAAGCCTGTGTTCAGTGTACAGGACAGCAGTACTATCCCAGCTCCTGAACTCAATGTATGTGATACATCTCATCTTACTTTGCATTTTATCTCTACTATAGAATATAATGCAACCTAGCAGAAAGAAATACCTAAAATAATAATCTTATTAATCAGAACGAACTAATTTCACTATAGGGATGCAATAACAGTCAGTAGTTGTTCCTCAAAATCTAGACGCCTCCGTATGAATTCATACAGCTGTCGAGTGGTAAATACGCCCATAGTGATTGTGACTACAATAGTCCCTGCTAAGATGCCAGATGACAAGCTCTTTGACAGATTCATGAGAATCATCAGAAAAAATGGGTATCTCACAAAACAAACTTTGTGAGAAAATGGACGAGAACCTTTCTGCAGAAGATTATGGGATGTAATCCGGAAGAGTTGTATTTCTGTGCACTTCTCTCAATTATGTACAACTCTCCACCATACAGTAGCCCAAACTATACCCTGCTCTGAATTTACTAACTTTTTCTTGCCATCTGGGCTGTCTTTTCAGTCCCTGTTCATTTCAGGATCTAAAATGGTGATCCTGGCAACAATATGGCAAATTAAAGTGAAGCTTAATTTGCTGAGATAGGTACAGAAATGAGCACAACATATGTCACTACTATGCTAATGGGTTTAGATTCACACAAGCTTTTAAATTTGCAGACTTGGCCAGAATGTAAACCAAAATTAGTATAATCCTAACAACACAAATGAACTTCAGTAAATGCATCCGCATTAAAGCAAATTTATTCTAAGAGGGGCTGCACAGCATAAAGGTACTAAAATGACAGCAATATGACTCATTCCTACACTGATTCAGTAGTTATTAAACGCAGTTTTTCAGAGCCTGGTATTAAGCTGTTTCAATGTAAAATCCCATTAACTGTATAACACACTACCATTAAATTGCTCTGCCATCCTAAGATGTAAATGGTTTCCAGAGCATTCAACATATGTATTATTTAAAACCTGAAGTGATAATACAAGGTGGCAGATAATGCCCAAAACTATGACTTTCAAGCTCACTTCCCACTGCATTTAAATATAGCTGATTTTGGAGTCTTTATTAAGTTAGTCATAGCAGCTTGATCCCAAATCCTGTTTGCTTTACCCCAGCGAGCTAACTTAAAACTAATTGCATGTCCCCGAATTGTAGCAGTGTAACTGAATCACAATCTTAGACAAGTAAAATAAAAGTGTAGCATTTCAAAGATAAATCTAGTCTCATTTACATGTGAGCAATAAATTCTAACTGGAAAACCTTCATTTTAGAGATTTAAGATTAAAAAGAAATAGAAAGGAATAAAATTCCACCCTCAAGGAGGAGCTGCAAACCTAGAGTCCATCTCATCTCCAGGGAAATTGCTTTGCTATTTAATTTAGTGACAGTTCATCTACAAAAAATCTTAAGTTGATAAAAAATTTTCATTTGAGTGTTCTCTTCTTACCTGCTTCATGCATTATCCAAAGCAAACATCTCACAAATCCAAGGACTACCAGAAACACTTATATCAATGCTGTCATTAATTTGTACCCATTGTATAGTTCTACCTCCAAAAGTCACAAAACAACTACAGGAACCAACCTTTTTCCCTCTCCTTTGTTTGGCTTGCAATTTACTTACACAACATTCACTGAAATGAAAAGAATTAGTCAGCTGGGTTTTTTTTAGAAATCTGACCTTCAATAACACAGAATATTACAAAAATCCTTGTTGATCTGTCATAGGTTGTAGATTTTCTACAATTATTTTGAAAGAGACTATTAACTGCCCTACCATGATTTTGTGCACAAGCATACATAAAACTTAGTGTCTCTCAAAGCATAAAAATACTCACAGGTGGCCTTTTTTCCAGTACTGGTATTGGCAGAGGTACAGGAATGGCACGTGGTTTGGGTACAGTCAAATTAAATTCCTTTGGCTGAGTGACTCTCGAAGTCTTGACAGTGGCAGTACGATTATTTAATTTATCCGTGAGCTGTTTGATCAGTTGCTGTACTTTTGGCTGCCATCTTCAAATAAAAACAGATTTTGCAATTTTATTTACTTTTTTTCTTTCATACAAACTTACACACAGTATATTAGGTTGGCATTGGTGCAAATTCTGTAAAGCTTTCAACCTTTCAATTTTCATGAAATTGACCTATGAATTTGTACTCATGATTTAGTTGGACTGGGCTACTTCACATCTTGACGGATGCTCGTCCGTTCAGACTACTAGTGGTGAAATAGCCACAGGTTTTGCTGAATAAGCAACTACATGTCCAGTTTGTTTTGCAACTGGATCAGACTATGAATCAGAAAAGCACCTGTTGTCAGCTAAGGACGCGCTTAACATACTCAGATGAAGAGTCTATGAGCAAACAGTGGCGTGAGTATTGCCACTTTTAGCAACTGACAGGGCACGTATAAATCCATGTCATAGCACAGGCAGCTCTAACAAAAAAAAGGGAAGACATAAGGAGGTTGGTGAATTAGCAAATGAACTCTCAATGAACTCTGTGGGGCAGTGAAGATGATTAGATGATTTTGATTTTCTCTGTGTTTGGATTTTGGCTTGTATGAAGGTTCACACTTCTTCCAAGGAATGACGGGAAGGTACAGAATTCAAGGTAAGTCACAAAGAGGGTAATTATGGTGACTGTCACCATTCATGTCAGTTGTTCCTCCTCTGTATACGGCCTGTCCTTAAGTATTATGCATGCAATGGAGCTTTCCCAGAACTTAAAAAGCAGCTGACAATGCAAATTTCCAGTAACTTGTGTATGTGACTGATACCTTAGCTAGTAGAGTCATTATGGGATGAGGCTTGTAAGTAACTTCTGGAAGTAATGCAGCTCCATTAAAGTAAATAGGACTCTTTATATTAACCTCATTGACATTAGGAAGAGGAATACGAGACATATTTAAAAGAATTTAAGCTATTGAACTGATTAAACTGATGAATGCATCCTAGGCCCCCAGAAGAAGGTTTCAAGCCTAGTAACCAAATATGGTCTTTAACATTCTTGTACAACTTACATTTACTACTTTTAGGTAAAATATGCGTTTGTTACATTGAACATAATTGGCTGTGAAGGACAGCTCAAATGACCTTAGTGTTAATGAAACAAGCAATAGATTAAGCATCTGCCTGTGTGCATATGTGCATACAAAAGTGTGTAGATGTGTGTGTTTATATGTCTATACATCTCTATCTGTATATTTATACTAGTCTAAGCATACGTGACAATTAGAATCACTACAATGGAATGTCAAATGTATCCCTGCAGTTCCTGTAGAACACAGTGGAGTTTGGAGTATTGCAAGTCAAATCTGTACTATACATTTGCTAACTTGACATAAGCTACATAGTACAAAAGGATTAATTCTACTGACTTTGATATCACAGTTCCAACTAGATGCAAACTCTTTTTCAGCTGAATTGTAACAAATTTTTGTCTGTTTGCCATCATCTGGGTTAATCTATACTGCAGTGAGGAGGATGCATGATTGCAGGCACATAGATATACCAATGCTAGCTGTAATTTAGCTGTCCTGGGTGAAAACAAGAGTGAAAAAGTGATGCAATAGGCTGCAGAGCTACTGTTTCTCCACATGAAAGTGTTCCAGTTTGGTGAGGGTAGTCATGCTGTTCTATCGCCACCTAAACAAAGTGTGGACACACCTGGCTCCTCAGATCATTTAAACTGTTAAATGATGCTGCAATTGTGTAAATCATAGAATCACAGAATGGTTAGGGTTGGAAGGGACCTCAAAGATCATCTAGTTCCAACCCCCCTGCCATGGGCAGGGACACCTGCCACTAGATCAGGTTGCTCAAAGCCTCATCCAACCTGGCCTTGAACACTTCCAGGGATGGGGCAGCCACAACTTCTCTGGGCAACCTGTTCCAGTGCCTCACCACCCTCAGAGTGAATTTCTTCCTTAAATCTAATCTAAATCTCCCCTCTTTCAGTTTAAAGCCATTGCCCCTTGTCCTATCATTGCACACCCTTATAAAAAGACCCTCTCCAGCTTTCTTGTAGGCCCCCTTTAGGTCCTGGAAGGCTGCTAGAAGATCTCTCCAGAGCCTTCTCTTCTCCAGGCTCAACAACCGCAACTCTCTCAGCCTGTCTTCATAGGAGAGGTGCCCAAGCCTTCTGGTTATTTTTGTGACCCTCTTCTGGACCCGCTCCAATATGTCCATGTCCTTCTTGTGTTGGGGGCCCCAGAGCTGAAGACAATACAGCAGGTGGGGTCTCACAAGAGCAGAGTAGAGGGGCAGAATCACCTCCCTCGACCTGCTGGCCACGCTTCTTTTGATGCAGCCCAAGATATGGTTGGCTTTCGGGGCCATTTATTATTAAATAAATAATGATTTTAAAAGACTTGTTTATGTGCTTATCTGATTTGTTCAGAAAGGATTTTACAACCACTGGCATAAACAAATCTGTGCCTAAAGCCAAACTCAGGGAAGTCAAACATTTTTTTTTTCAAATGCTTAATGTCATACACATGTTGAAGTGACTTATGAGGCACAAGTCTAACATCGTAAGATAATTTGAACCTTCTCTTTTTTTCAGAGTACGATATTTATTCAGAGTCACTGAGAACCAAATGTGCAACAGCTGTGAAAGGACTATCCTATGAGATAACTTTGCCTTTGGGTAAGTAAAAGGGATTACTATAGTCTCACAAAGAGAAGAAGGGTTCCGAGTGACTTCAATAGGAGAAACACTTTAAGAGCAAATTGAACCTTCAGGAGAAGCTTTCCCCAGCCCTTGAACTTTGAGGTGGCCACAGGCTACTTAAGTACTGCTTACCTTAGCAGTGGATCGATCCAGTTCTCTTTTACATACACTGAATCGTAGAATTGGCTCCATTCATCTTCTATCCATGAGTTCAAATACAAGGCATTGAAGAAGAATCTAAGAAACTAATAAGTTATTTCTTTTAAATATGAATACTGAATGTGTATGTAAGTGTAATATAAGTGTAATACTTATGGTGTATATAAGACTACAAAAAGATAGTTGCTTTTACTGCAAACACTGCTGAAGAACTTGCTTGTATTTTACCCTGTAATTATAATTATAGCTGCTTGGTATTTTTAGGTTCTTCTTAGTTCTGTTAGAACAGTCCCATGTCTTTCAGCTCTATTTTGTGAAACACTAATAGATACTAAAATATTTTTAGTGGCCTAAAAAAATCTAGGGGCTACAACATGGGAATGTGTTGATGCATCTTTAATTTGCTTCAAACATTGTGAAACAAAAGGTTTTCTTCAAAATTAAAGTAATTAGTAGTGCAATATACTGATTTTAGTATAATTATACAATAAAGTTTCACAGTCTAATATACCCACAATCAACTCCTGATTATATAGCTAAAAGATCCATGGTGCCCAGAAACATCTCAGGCCTGGCACTGCACCTGAATTGCTTAAGTTCTTTTCAGCTCCTTGGGAATTGGGCAGGGAGAACTGCTGAGAACTATAGTAAATGCCACACAATATGGTTTCTTCTTTTATTGAGATATAATTAATTGGCATATTCCCATTAAACTAGAAGACTGAAATTTGGCACACTTACACATTGTAGGGCTCTACATGCTGGAGAAATAGCAACTACCATTTGAACTTTTGATTCCCACTGGAGTTCACCAGAAGGTCAAGAGCCTTTCTTTAAAACTTCAACTGCTCAAATGGCCTTTTGAAACAGACTCTTGAAAAATGGCACTCACATTCAGTGGGTATCATTTACAGCAATATAAATTCCAAACTTGAACCTGAACTTCTTCATTAAAATTCTTGGAAATTAATGTACAAGCAAGTATCATGCTGAAATAATCCCAGTAATAGAAAAAAGCACACGATATAGTATAGACATTATGAGACATATCGGAAAGCAGTGTGCAGTCACTTGAGAAGCTTCGAATGGAGACTGCAAAGCTTATTGGTTCAGACTTGGCATCAGCCTTGTCTTGGGTTGGTTTCCACAGAGCTATGTAGCTTTGTATTGAGTTTTCAGTTCTGGAGGACTACCAAGGAGCTTCTTGATTCACATTAAGAAGCCCAAGGTGGCTCAGAGCTTTGTGAATAATTCAGCTAATAATTCAGATTTGACTCAAGGTGTTTGCTGCAGATGTTCAACAGGTGTAGAAAGCCTGCTCCTTGAAATCTCTAGTCTTGATGTGAACATTTCCAAGGAATTAATCTGTAAATTTAGTCTTATTTTCATCTGTTGTGATTTTGGTAGAGTTAAATGACTGGTCAACAACTGAAGGACAAAATGAATATTACCTCTTTGGATTCCCATTCTTGTCTAGAAACTACTCTCTTCCCCAAAACTGCAGATGCTGGCATATCAACACACCATCCAAAAGAAGGTATTTCATCCCTAAAAGCATGACTATAAACTGAGCATTGAATTGTGAAGAAGTTGGGGTTTTGATGCTTCCAGGTTCAGAAGAATTTGCTAAACATATGGTAAGCGATGCATTTCATCCCATTGGTCTAGAAACTCATTCATTCTCCTTATGGAGGATCTTTCTCTGTACTGCATGCATGTTGGATTACATTTTTCACTTAGCACAGTAATTTGTACTTATGCAATGTATAAATAAAATGCTAGAAGGCTAGACAGAGTTCGTACTCTCCAACAGAACTGATGCACTGTATATACACTACAGTTATCGTAACAAAATTTTACATCCAGGTATTGCAGCTGTATATATGATTATAGACCCAGAGAACATGTCCCTTGCCAAAGTACTCTTCTTACCTTATAGAAAGCCCTGACTATACCTAACATTTATAAAAAAATGTGGTTTTAAACCCATGTCAGCAAGTGCGTATGCAAGGGTGGATTGAACATGAGCTGATATACTTAAAATGAGACAGACCCTAAGGGGTGAAGGTAGTTTCAGATTTCTAGGTATTTGGAGGGCTCCCAGGAGTTGATGTAGAAATACTGTAGGTGGTGATTTGTAAATCCTCTGGTTCTCTTTCACTAGCTTACATTAAGATGAACGCCTCCTCCCTCTCTGCATCCTCAGTATTCCTCTTTTATAGCCTAGTCCATCCTCAGAGGCTTCAGTTGGTTGTCTCTTACATTGCCATTGAAACTAAGTCTCCAAACTGTTGTTTCAGCTCTTCCTGACTGATCTTCTCCATCTAGGTCTTCTAAATATTTGCTGTAACTACCTTTAATGAAGTACTTGCTTCTCAACTACCTCTTCAAGCCAGATGAAACAATAATAAATGCACACAGTTACTGATTTCTAGCTGTTGTATTTAACAGCTGGCTATTACCCCTTGAGGCCTCCTACTGCAACACCAGTTATGTACTGGTTATTAACATGTCACACTTTATTAAGACAAATGGGTAATTATGTGATTTGATAAATGCTATGAGGTACTCCTATGAAGTACAGAGAATGGTTAATGGTGTAATCAGATATCAATACTGTGATGTATATTTTAGTACTGTTTTAGTCACAGTCCCCAGAGAAATACTACAATAAGGATATGCCCCAGTATGTATCATTCTAGCTAAGGCTTTGAATGCAGCCCTGGAATGGTTATCCTGGCAATGCAGGGATTGCAAACGGCACTGCAGGATCACCAGACATCATTTCTGACCAGAGTCTGCCTGGGCCAAAGTCCACAATCTCAGTTTTGATAATCCATATAACAGATGGCAAGTGTGGGCAGAATAAGGCTCATGAAGCCATAGCACATTTAATTTCTTAACAATAGAAACTTTTGCGTTTTGTCAACTAAATTTCTAGGAAAAATCCCTTCTATTTCTGTTTTGGCTTTGGCCACATGTGACACAGGTGGCAAACCCAATATCAGCAGTTGTTGCTTTCATATCAGCAAAATGCAGTTTGAAGTTCTCACAGATTTCTCTTTGGATGTTACCAGTATCTGTCTCCTTAGAGAAGTCACTGTACAGTCATTTTGGTAACAACATTACTCTGCTTATCCTCTGTTTTAAATGTCCCAAGAATTTCACTACTCACAGAGCATGATAACCAAGATTCATTTCCCTTCTAGAAGTGGTGGGATTACATGAGAAGTGAATTGTATCCATTTTACTACTTTAATGTACTCTAGCTGTAGTAGGACAAGTATGTACAATTAAAAACAGTTTTGTAATGCATTTTTACAGGTGGGCTGAATTAATACCTTGCTTTTGAGAATTTGAACATGCTCTGCTAATATTCTTAACATATTTTTATACAACGGGATTGTATACGTTTCTAAAAAACAAATTAAAAATGGGAAGTTTCCTCATCTAGTATTATCTTTACATCTGTGTAGTCATTTGCAGAGCTGAAATCCTTATATTCACAACATAAACTTTTGACTCTTGAGTTATGGAAGCAACTGTAAGAAACTGCAGGTTCTGTTTCTCCATACAGACCAGTCACTACCTGAGAATGCTATTAGTTTGGCTGTACACACCCACAGCTATTTGCTGTAGTAGCAAATGCAATCAAGGAGGTTCCTGTCCACTCCTCTCTTCATCTGCTGATTCTTTCCCTCTTATTGTAGTTTAGTTCTTCAGCTATGCCAGCTCAACCACCTGTAGGATTGTACCTTTCAACTGCAACAGAGAAATGAAGAGGAAGGCAAGCATCTCTTTGGAAGGCTTTCCCATGAAGAAACTGTAATGGAAAACTGTAATTTGAGGATCCTGAGGTAAAGGTGTAGAGAAAAGTGTCCTAGCATGGCCTCAGGTTCTTCTGCCATTGTATGACCCAACTGGGACTTTTTTTAACCCCATGTCCACCATGAGGCTGATCTTGTCTTACTATTCCTACCTCATCATAATAGCAATTACAATATTCAGTTCCTATACAATGATTTTCCTTTGCAGATCTCAGAAGTTCTTTATAAAGGACTTCACTGCTCTTAGAGGCAATCAGAACGGAAACAAAACAAAACAGGTTCTTGAATGCCAGAAAGAAAACACTAGTTATTTTGCATTTTTTTAACAAGACGATTATGAAATTATAAAGCTGTTTACTTCAATTTTTATTTCAACAGTGTTTTCTCTAACATACAAACCCTGAAATTTTACAACAAATACAAAACAATAACATGTATTAATAACAGAACAGAAAAGTAGGCTTAAGCTAGCAATGCATAGCTAAGTTCTTAGAGTAACAATCACACTAAAGTTACAAAATTGGGTTTTATCCCATGGTTCTGTAATTACACAACCACAAAGAATTTTTGCATGTATTGTTAACATTACAGAATGAGATCTTATGATTTTCTGTTTAAGCAGATGAACATATGTTAGAAAGGCAGCATTATTATTCTGCCTGGATATTCTGCCTAAATGAAAATATTTGAACATGCATCAATCATAGGGAAACACTGTGACTTTGATTTGAATGGATTCCACCATGCAGTCCTTTATGAGAAAGGTCTACTCGCATAAGTCTATCTTATTCAACTGAATAGTCCATTTAATTTCATGAAGACTACTCATTTGAGTAAGGTTTATTTGCACAATGAATAAAATTCCATTCAGCCTGTGATGTGCAGAGAAATTTATTTTTTTTAATTAAAGTAAATCCATTCTAAGTAAATATATGTGCAAAAAAATTTCTGCATCTCAACTGAACTCAAGACACTATAGTCATCAGTCAAAATCCACAGGTCAACATCCTGAAGGAGAATCAGAAATTTCTGACAACTTCTGTTGCTAAGGCTGCAGATCTGCCTTCTGCTGTTTTTGTCTCTGTTGCTGGGGGGACCAAATGCTGCTTCTAAATCCTCTGCTGCAGGTGCATTAATATAATCTAGCATCACTTTGGAGACAAAGATCCTCTTCTAATGCAAAAGAAGAAAACTTAGGTACCATGGTGATGAGGATCTGATAAGATATTTAAGCAAAGCCACGTCTACAGGAAAAAAAAAAGTAGCAGGTGCAGACCATTGCATAATGCAGCACTTCTGTATCAGAAAAGAGTTATTCCAGACAAGGAAGGAGGAATTATCTGAAATAGAACATCAGGCCACTGACACTTAAGCCATATAAAGCTAGGTGAATGAAATCAACAGGAGGTAACTGGCATGAAGTGGGAAAATTGTGTTACTAGCTGAATGAGCTCAAGATGCATCCAATTCAGTGGCTTGTATCTAAGATGTTTACCAAAGAAGGGGATGGGAGAGCATTGTAGACAGAGTGCTTTGTCTGTCTACCAGATTATGATAATTCTTCCACCCACTTCTCTGTTTTTTTTTTTAACAGTTAATGAAATATGGCATTTTTGTCTCTGAATGGAATTAATAAAACCCATTCCATAATGAGCTCATCAAAACAAAGTGAATAGAGTGTTTCTAAAAACATTATGCAGTCAACCTAACCTACTCTGTCCCTACGTATTACAAAGCAACTGTACTCATTAAAGAGACACTGGCATGCACGTGAACATGCAAAGGAATAAGCATAAGAATAAATCTTAGCTTTTTGAGTATTAATTACTAAAATTTGCCTATCTCTTGAATTCCACATGCGTTACATGCACCATGTTTGGACTATGCTCTGAAAGATCTGGATGATCAAATTTTACATATGCTCTGTCACCAGAAATTTAATGTTTAGCCTATTTTCCTAAGAAAATAGGGCTTATGAGACAGCCTTGCCATTCAGTTTGTCCCTCTCCCCATCTTTATAACATATCTTTTAAGATAATCAGCACTTTCAACCATTTTGAAAGAGACACAGAATATATGTTTATTTCTACAAATTTCATTAAAATTAGCAAACAAGTAGTGGAGTGAACCCCAAATTTGTGACTCCAAAGAGGAAAAGGCAGGCAGAACTTTGTTGTCATGTTTTCTATTTGGCAGCAATGGTTTGGTCAATTGCACTTATATTGTAAAGTGGTGATTGGTACATGCATAGCTTCAAATGAGCGACTGGTTTTTGGAAAGAGGAAAAAAACGATGGAAGGACAATAGGCTTGATAATCAAAGTGGTAGAGGGTTGTTCAGGGAAAAAAAAGAACACTAATCAGCAGAAACTGCAAGTTTTAATAGATTCGTTGCATATGGAAGAAACTTCCCCTGCCTGAAGTCAGAGAAAGAATGCACAGAGGCAAGAGTGAGGGACAACTGTAAATCATGTGATTATTCTATCTTCTCAGATTATCTAAAACACATTTTGGAGTGACCTTTGAATATGAGATAGTCACTGCGTAAGTATAGAAATTGAAGGGTTTTGTGATAACAAAATACTAACCTAATTTCTGAATTTAAACAAAAAACAACACTATTTTCTCAATTTAAATTATCCTGAAAGTTAAGAAAAGTCATCTGATTAATCAAACACAATGAACAGGTCATTAATTATTTTTTTAAAAATGCTTTGTACTTTCATTACCTTATGCATTTTTGCCGTGTCCAGAGATTTCACAATTCTGCTGAACTGCTGAAAACCGAGCTCTTCTAGTTGAAAAGCAGCCAGATAACAAATAACTATCAAAAGATACATACATTTAAAATGCAGCAGGAAATTTTATAAACCTCTATCCTAAAATCAGCATATGCTTAGATTTAGACTGTTAATTTTAAATAGTCCTCAATATTTTTTTATCTAACTGGGCAATATAATGCTTGACAACGAGAAATTGGAATATGAAGCTATAACAGAATGTTAACCTTATGTTCATTATTAGCATTGTGACTCTGTACTGTGGTTTATATAGATTAGTTACCTCTTTCGTGAGCCAGAACCAAGCTAGTGCAAATCTACACAATTTTATGAAAATTCTAACAGCTAAGGATCTGGCCACTTACACAAAACCTGTAAAACAATTGTAGTCCTTCATAGAGGTCCTTTAGGTGCCTGCAAATAATTGCTTGTTCCCATCCCCTCCTTTTACTTCCTGAGTTTCTTCTCTTAGGCAAGTACAAGTCACACGGCCAAATTGAACCAGGTTGTGAATTTTAACCTGAAGCACTTTCTTATCAGTTCACTGGATGGCTGCTAAACACAAGTTCTTAGTCAAGAGAAGATAAGACATAGGGGTGAGAATGAGTGGCCAGCGATGAGAGAAAGGGTGGCCTGTTTCTTTGGGTAGTAGTACCAGATTATAGAATCATAGAATGGTTCGGGTTGGAATGGACCTCAAAGATCATCTAGTTCCAACCCCCCTGCCATGGGCAGGGACAACCTCCACTACACCAGGTTGCCCAAAGCCTCATCCAACCTGGCCTTGAACACTTCCAGGGAGGAGGCATCTACATTCTCTGGGCAACCTGTTCCAGTGCCTCACCACCCTCAGAGTGAAAAATTTGTTCCTTAGATCTAATCTAAATCTGCCCTCTTTCACTTTAAATCCATTGCCCCTTGTCCTATCACTACACGCCCTTGTAAAAAGTCCCTCTCCAGCTTTCTTGTAGGCCCCAATTAGGTACTGGAAGGCTGCAATAAAATCACCGAAGAGCCTTCTCTTCTCCAGAAGACAAATATCTGCATATTCCATCTGCGAAATTCTGTGTTAGTCTGGCAAGAAGCCAGGGAGGATAGGAGTCAGATGGCTCCTGAGAGACATGACTGAAAAGTTTCTGACAGTATTATGTTGTTGGAAACAGCTCCCTTTTAGAGTAACCAAAATTTTCAGTGTAAGCAAGCTTATTCTGAGAAAATTTAATGTAAACAGAAGATTTAAAATAAAGTTTTCATAGTGAATTTTTCAACATACTCTGTTTTTAATGTTTACAGAGAGGATAGCCCTTATTCTCCGGTTCCAAAATCATAGTTTATTGCCCATAATAATATTATACAAAAGAAAAAAATTTTAAATATGAAATACTGTATTTCTAATTTTTTTTTTTTTTTTGCAAGCGACCATTTTGCAGAAAGTGTTATAATCTTTGGTTTTATTCTGAATTAGAATAAAACCAAGTTTTTAAACTGTGAAATACTCTGGGAAATCCAAATTTGATTCTTGCAATGCCTCTGCAAGTACGCAGTTTGATACAAGAAGAGTCACAGTCAGTGCTGTGAGATTTTTGCAGACCTGTTATGCTCAGGAGCTCCTGTATCAGCTTTCATTTGACCATATTCACTTTGCTCAATCAGGCTTCACTAGCACTGCAGTATTTTAGCTGCCACCAAACAGTAATGATAAAATCAGTGAATTCTGACCAATGTGCTGCAGCCAACTCAGTGTATCGTTAGGCTTCAGTCTTATGCTTCAGCATAGCAACATATTTAAGCAGTCTTAGTAGAATATACATTTATCTCCTACAAGCTTTATTAAATTCAAATCTGCTCACACATAGCAACAGCCTTTATAAGCAGCTTTGATCATTTAAGTGTCAATGCAGCTTGGCAAAGGGAATCACAAGCAGCTTAAAAAAATGTAAGCCAATGACCTTAGACTCTTAACTTGTTGATAAAGGAAAATTTTCCGGGGTCTACCCTCTGCCTATGATTAATGGAGGCTTTTGAGTGGACCAGTCCTGACAATCCAATTATAGCAACACTCAGCTTAAAGGTATAATTTATGTGCCCCAGACACTGAAAAACATGGCTTTGGAGAAATGGAGACAATGAAGCATTACCATTTAGAATAAACTCAACATACTATTAATTTCATCCTTGACAGTTTAGGTTCCCTTTCATTTGTTATTTGATTTGGATTTCTATACCTTTCCAGATTGTGACAGAATCAACCAGAATTGCCATAAAAATTTAATAGTTTTTAAAACATAAAATTTAGATATATTAGATATGTTAGATATATTAGATATGTTATATTAGACTTCATAAATCAACCTCAGTATATGTGTATTCAATACATAGCATAAAAATTTTTTTTAAATTACTTTTTAATGTACTTCTCAATGCCTGAAATAACTTTGAGAGTAGTAACTGCTCCGATTAACTAGCTCATACTATCAGATATAGTTGTATTGTAACTGATTCTAACCAAGTAACTGATGAAGGGAAGATAATTGACCTCATTCATGGAGACAGACAGAAGTCTGTTTATGTCATTGTGATGGTCAGTAATGAAGAAACCCATGTATGGATAGAGACAATCATAACTTCATACTGTGAGACATGCTGTGTTCCTCAGCAGAGGTACTAGCTTGCATAGAACAGAATAAAGGGAAATCACTGAAGAACATTTTTTAAAGTGATGGTTAAACTTTCAAGGTACTTCTTCCAGTCACCGATGCTATTTTCCATCTGCATGTTACCTAATCTGCAGGCATATTCTGCAGAATTTTTCTAGGTAAAATTCCAGTTAACACCTGTGAGAGTCCAGACTAAATAACAATTTCAAGATTTTCATCATAAAGCCATTGGAGAAGGTCTTGTATTTCATAATGCACTGGGCACAATGACAATGCTTCAAATGTAATATAATATTAAGACCTACACTAGTAAAATAATATTTTTTTAAAGTTTTGTGGTAAACACATTTGGTGTTTTAAAGAAAACTTACCTATATAGAGATTACGCTCAGAAGTCAGGCAGTATCTCCCATCCTGAACAAAGAAGGCATTGACTACTACATCCAATAAGGATTTATATTCTGTGCATCCAGCTAGTGTATCCAACACAAATTTTTCTTCTGTCACATTTAGAGTCTATCAAGATACAGAATTAATAATGATTAATGTATTCTGGAAAGGAAATGTTAGTTGTGTACAAACAGAAGTACAATAATTTTGAAGTAATTGGAAAACATCAATAACGAACAGCAGTGCCTTTGGTAGGGCCGACACAATTCTAATACTATCAAATACGGGCAGTCCTAACAAATTAATGGCCCCTGTTAAGCAAAATGTAACCTTCCCCAATGTTAAACTTTCAGTTTATTTGCTGACATACATTTCTATTAAAGGCATTGATGTGTGAATGTCAACAGGAACCGCAAAGAAAATTTGAAGTTTCTGAGCGAGGAGCAATGATTAACTCAGTCAACTGTATGAGAAAGTTTCAGTAAGAGTTTGCTTTTCCAGTAAGAAACCTGTTCTTTGCAGGTGAAGTCTGTGCTACTTGGGGAGACTACATTGAGGGGAGAAACTGGACAGAGATTACAGAAAAGACTTTTCACTGCTACTGTAACCTAATATTGGAGAATATGACTATTTAAAACTAAACTTGTGAGTGCCAGGATTTTTGTTAATGCAGACTGTGTGTTTCTTATCCAGCTGTGCTCTCAGTCACTTGCAATGTTCATGCAACACCGTAACAACAGAAAAAGGAGAGTTAGATGCCCACTGCACACCATTTGGATCCTACTTCATAATCCTTCTAAAAAGTGTGAATGCTCCTTAACAGAGAGTTTCACTCATAATAAATAACCTATGGAATATCTGCTACTACAAGAAATAAACTTCTAGTATGACACACCTTGAAACATTGCAATAAAATCTGAGGCCCAGAACAGTTTGTTATTACATGAATCGAAAAAGGACAGCCACCCTATGCCAAAATGAGAAACAATAACTATTCTTTGATTTAAGCAGGTTAGCCAAGAAGCCAAGAAAAAAGCTAAGTGCATCTTCTGAAAACATGTAGTCCACATTTGATATAGGATCTCTCCCACAGCTCTGAGATGTGGAAACAATTGAATTTCAATAATATATCAAATCAGAGGTTAACCTTGCCTGGTAGACTATCTGCTAGCATCTTGGTCACTTTATTTCCCTAATGTGATTAATTTCTAGTTTAAAAGTATTATTAAAGGGTGCTGGAAGGAACTGTGTAAGTCTTCTGATGTATGACACGATATAGACTGAGCAAATACGAGGCAAAACTTTAAAATTCCAGTTCTAAATTTAAATGTAAAAACGTGATGCAGAAGTGTTCCAAGTGTATTTTCTCAGGTTGTCATTCAGAGTAAGCATAATTCTTTCTTACTACTCCTGCTCAAAAGCCAGGTTTCATTGCTTCCAATTTGTGCATCATCACTAGAAAAAAATAGTGCCTCCATATAACTGTCTCCATATCCATATGTATGTGTATACGCATATACACACACGTGTGTGCAGGCAAAATTACACCCACATACGTCCTTGTAATTTCTTTACTGCCATTGAGATTCCACTAATACCACTCCTCCCTAGCAGAACTGTAATAGACAATATTACTAATGATACACATACAGAAATGGAATCAAGCTGTTTGTGGGTTTCAGGTCCTTAAGGCTAATAATAGTTAAAATGATAGAAAAGCTTTATTTCTATAACTGAAGTAATCAGATATGACTCTGAATACATTCTGTGACCCAGATATGTTGGTTAAGAAGAAACAGAGTGTAACCAAACTAACCATTACACGGAGACATGAAGCTTCACTATGTCTGGTGGGCAGCACTAGAGACTGAGTGTGAATAAGCAGGATATCACCTACATTTTTAATCAGGGCTCTGGAGAAAGAAGAACCAACAGGTTGTGGTTGAGATGGGAGGAAGATAAAAGGGAATGCCTTTGGGAAAATGGAACCAACGAGAGTGAGGTAGCAAAGAAGGAGCACAGAGAAAGGAGTGAAAAGGAAGGTAGAGGAAAACAGGAGATACAGAAGACTTAAATGGAGGATGGACACAAATGGAAGGGCAGAGGAAAGAGACTGAACACATCTGAAAATATGCAAAAAAAAATTGTTTGATGAGAATCATGGACTCCATCTTGCTAAGCACTGAGAATTCTTGTGAGGAAAACAGTCCATTCCAAATACATCTATTCTGGATGAAGATTTACAGAAGTTCTTTCATAAAACCGAAAAAGAAAATCCAGAAATCTAATCCCTCCAACTAAATCTTCATATATATATTCTATGTTTGAGAATTCATCACAAAAAGCAAAACCAAACCTAAATAGCTGAACAGCAAAGTGAGAGGATGACGTAGTCCCAGTAAAGTAGGATTGTGATATTTTGAATCTAAAACAATTGATCCCCTTGAACAAATACTGTTGTTCATGAACAGATCAATCTGCAGACAACAGTAGCTCTGATAATAAACAGAAAGTCACAGTAAAACTGGACAAGCTCATTGGAAACAAACCCAAAAAACCCTTTCACAAGTATTTCCACTAGAAAGCTAGAATATAAATTGTTTCCCAGATCTTTATTTGATTAGAATTTTTGCATTCACCTTCTGAGTACTTTGATATATTGTATAAAGTGCTACAACAAACCAGTGCTTTTCAAATGTACTTTGGAGAGATGACCAAAAGTAGACAAACCGATAACAAGAAGATGACACCAGTGCCCAAATCATATCTCCTATACAGTTCAGACTACAGCATAAAAATGCAAGTGCGTATTTACATTTACTCTGCTTTTATTGTTCTGAGTTAACAAATCAGTCACAAGTTAGTTGTTAGGACAAATGTAGAAATAAGTGTTTGGTCTTGCTTGCTCTCTGAGCAAGAAAGTACATAACCACTACATGTCTTCGAGCTAAGCAACAAGGTGACAGGAGGTGCAGCCTGAGGACCTCTGTGCCCCAAAACATCAGTACTGATGGTAATTTGGTGCACCACAGACCAAAAAGTCTTGTCATGAAATATTACAAATTGAATTTGCTTTCAACTACAAATGGTACTAAGTATTCTGTTCCTACATATAAAAATTGAGAATAGTTAAGCAGCCTACAGCTGTGTCATCTAAGGAAGTGATCTCATTAGAACTCATAATAAGCTAAACAAGACGGGGCAGGATGAGTACTTGGCTAAGAAATCTCAAAGGTGAGCCAGGTGTTGGTTAAGCCCCGCTGACAATCTAGTGAAGCAAAAACTGAGCCAATGCTTTAAAATAGCCAGGATACTCTCTGCATAGAAAGTGCATTGTGTCCTTAACAAATATCATCAAGGATATTGACAGTTTATCTGTGTATCTGAAATCATAATTGCTTTGGGAAAGTAATATAGAGGGTAGGTGTAATTTCTAGCATTAATTCCTAAGTGCATTCTTTCTGTGAGGCTTTACGTTGCATTTTGTGTCAGTGGCATGTATTTCAGAAGTGGGTCAAATACTCCTGAAACAGTACAATATGATGACAGACTGTATGTTTATAGCACCTTTTATAAGAGGTTCTCAAAACACTTTACTAACATTAATTGCATTCAATGAGATTCCTTTTGCTAATGTTATTTTGTAAATGCAGGAACTACAATATGGAGCAGATACGAGATTTGCCCCAGGTGAGACACTAAGTCATTGGTGGCAACAAGAATTTATTAATTTACGCTAATTTGTGAGCCTTTGTTCTGTCCATCAGACCATCTTATTACCTTTTCAAGCGTAGTTTACTTCATGTATTTCTCTGAAACAACTACCAGTTAGCTAGCTATGCTCGCAAGTATGTTACGTGAGTCCTTCAGCATGAGGAAGGCCAGATAATTTACAGGTGAAACGTAACATATGCAGCTATCATCTTCTGTTGCACCAAATACTGAAAATTATGAGAAGACAAAATAGATCTTGAACAATATACCTATTGTATGCTCAGGAAACGACCTCTCTATCTCTAATGTTACTGCTTACTATTTGTTGTTTTGTTGTGTAAAGCACAGTAAGTTTGTGGTAGATGAATATAGGATGGTCCTATATTTTTAATGTCTGGAAGCCCGCGTATTACTGTGTTGACCAATGGCTGCACCGAATATAAGTAAAATACAGTTAGATGTCTTCACAATGTCATTCCCATACCAGTATCTGAAAATGTTCTCTTTATGGCATTGAATTTCAGCCTTTTCTGATTCCCAAGTGTTTAAGTTGTGAAGTATGATCCTGTCTGAAATTATCCTGAACGATCCTGTGAAAAAGGTGTGACTCTTCTCTGAATTCTGTGCTGATTGGCGTTATCTTCCACTTTTCAGAAATCTGTAATGCCCTTAGCCTGCTTCCCTGGACATATTTTCCTTGCTCTCTGACATTTAGCTGTAGCTGGGAACCAGTCAAGCTTCTTCAAAAAGAGAAAAGACTGTGTAAGAAAAACAGTGTATATTGTCATATATATATATGTCCTATGCTGTGTATAGAACTTTGTACACAAACAACTTTCAGTGTGTTAGCACAATAAATATCATGAATTAAATGGAGAAATATCTGCAAAAAGCAAGCTTTGCCACAGTGGGTGTATGGTACAATAGGACCTGTTTAAGGGTCAGAGAGATCAGGAAAGGATGGGTATGGAGAGAAAGAAAAGCTCTTGTTTCTGGAAAGAATGAAGGAAATGAACATCAGCCATGCTCCGTTTGAGACTTCTCAGGATAAGGATTTAGTTTAAGGTGAAACAAACATTTAAGAGAAAAGATAATATTTGATTAAAAGATAAAATAGCTTTCGCCTCCTGAGAGAACTGAGTAATAGAATGTACCAAACTTGTCTACTTCTAGGCAGAATATGCACATTTTGCAGATGCAGTCTGATTAATTTATAGTGCTTTAGATATCAGAGCTAGTCCTCTCCAAGGGGCTAATCGAAATGCTGTGGAAATGAAAGAAAATATTCCTACTGCCTTCACTGGGTTTTGAATCAGTCACCAGAACCCAGTCCTCTTCCCATTTGAAGTCAGTGAAAATGCTTCCAGTAATTTCAAGGGGAGAAAAACCCCTGGGATCTTAGGATATAAGCA